AGAGATCCTACATGAGGAGTAAGTGCACAGTGACTCCTGTTGTTGACTTAACAAATTGACACTCTTGTTTATGGCCCCTAGGCTCTTGTCATGAGTTGCCAAGGCTATGGAGGCCTTTTGAGTTTGCTGAATCTGATCATATTTAGACAAGGTCATAGTCAAAGTGGAAGTTCTCTCCTCCCTTCAGAGAAAGGCACCTCCTTCTTTGAAGACCTGTTCTTTCCACTGGGATCTCACAGAGATCTTTCATTTAGGTCATTTTTTTTTTTGCCACAGTGTCTTGGCTTTCCATGCCTGAAATACTCTCATGGGCTTTTTAGCCAGATCCACATGCCTTTAGGGCTGATTCTGAGGCCAGAGTGCTGTTTAAGACATCCGCCATTCTATGAGTCGGCTGTGTATCCCACTTCCCATGTTGGATCTTTCTCTCCCTTTTTTTATTCTATCAGTTAGTATTTTCAGACAGAAATCTTGTTTATGTTATCCCTTTGGCTCTTAGTCCTATCATTATGATCAATTGTAAACAGAAATTGATCACTTGGACTAGTGAGATGGCATTGGTACATGCTACCTTGTTGGGATTGAATTGGAATCCCCTGGTATGTTTCTAACTCTACCATTTGGGGCAAGTCCAATTGAGCATGTCCCAAATTGTACATCTCTTCCCTCTCTTATTCCCACTCTTATATTTAACAGGGATCACTTTCCAGTTAAGTTTCAACACTTAAGAATAACTGTGTATTAATTACAGAATTCATCCAACAGTATTAAGTAGAACAACCAAAAAAATACTAAAAGGGATAAAGTATTAAGTTGTTCATCAACAGTCAGGGCAAGGGTTGATCAAGTCACCATTTCTCGTAGTGTCCATTTCATTTTAACAGGTTTCCTTTTTGGTGCTCAGTTAGTTGTCACCAATCAGGGAGAATATATGATATTTGTCCCTTTGGGATTGATTTATTTCACTCAGCATCATGTGTTCCATATTCCTCCATTTTGTTGCAAATGACTGGATGTCATTGTTTTTAATGCTGTATAGTACTCTATAGAGTACATATCACAAAATTTCTTTATCCAGTCTACTGTTGATGGGTGTTTAGGTTTTTCCAGGTCTTAGCTATTGTGAATTGAGCTGCAATAAACATTAAGGTGCAGACTGCTTTTTTGTTTGCCATTTTAATTTCCTTTGGGTAAATCCAAGGAGTGGGATGGCTGGGTTGTATGGTAGGGTTATCTTCAGGTTTCTGAGGAATCTCCAGACTCACTTCCATAGTGGCTTGACCAGTTTGCATTCCCACCAACAGTGGGTTAGTGTCCCCTTTCCAGCACATCCTCTCCAGCATCTGTTGTAGGTAGATTTCTGTATGTGAGCCATTCTAACCAGGGTGAGGTGAAACCTCATTGTTCCACCCATGTCTTTTGCCCTCTCTGTCTTCTGAGTCAGTGAAAATAACAGTTGTCAGGATTCTTTAGGATTTTATCCCATCTTCCCTAAAATTTCTTGAAACCTCCACCAAGAACTAACTTGCCAAAATGGTTGAGCAGCTTTCCTAACTTGGATTGAAGTAATCCATTGTTGTCCTGGAGGAATAAAATTCCTTGATAGTGATTCACCCTTGTTGTCTCTATGCCAAGATGTGGATTAGCATCGTATCACTTTTTCCTTGGCTCTCACTGGAAAACTGGTCACTTCCCTAATTACTGGATCTTTTCATTTCATCTATGTCTATCTTATTTTTGTAAAAGGGGAAGGGCAATTCTTAGCACAGAAATGACTTGATGAAGAGCCCTTCTGTATCACAAAGTTATAGAGTCACAGAAATTGGTTCCATAATCACTGGGATCATCAAGGCTTGCCAGTAGGTCAAGAGGAAGGCCAACTTTGTCTCTCTCAGCACCAAGATCAAGGTCCTGGCTGTCACACTCTCTGGGGAGATTGAAACTGAACTCTTGGTGCAGCAAAGATATACAACCAAAGAAACCCATATTCAGCTCAAGCCCAACTTCCATCCTTATGAACTGCAGCAGACTATACTCTGTGACACTTCTAGACACAGTTAACATTGATGAACACAAAAGAAATCACTAAGAGACTAGACTCCTAGAGTAGCTTAATTCTAACACAAAGCAAAAATTCAAGTGATAATGCTGCATTTGGCTAAACCATGAACTCTTTTCAACAAAAAGTGATTCATAAAGAAGAGAAATGAAGAAACATTTCTATGCCCAGACATGCTTTCTGTCCTCTTTCTATTGAAATACTGAATTAAAGAGATGGCATGGTTGTTTTGTATTTTAACCTTTCGTCCCTAAATGCTTGGAGCCATCTGCCATATACTGAATTTACTAAATATGTGAGGGCAAGGCTAATGTCAATTGAAGTTTTCAGTTGCTATGCAGGAAGGAAAATTTAATTCAACATGACCCCTACTAAGAGAGTGAATTAGGCATTACATTGTACTTTGTTGGCTCCCTAGCACAACAAATAGACAAATGACAACAGAAACTTTTGTCCCACTGCACCTGATGGCCCAGTGTGCAAAGGTTAGGGGATGCCTGGCCTGAGTTTGGCCTGGGCCCAGACAGGCCTTCTGAACTGTGTCCTCTGAGCTGCCAAGAAGTGTAGTGGCATGCTGCTCTAGAAGTCCTCTTTCTTTACCCCGTGTTGCCCTTCACCTTACACCCAGAGCCAACATGCACCCATGTTTGCATGAGGGTCTCCACCTCATGCAAATCCATGTGACCTTGTGTGAGAAGGATGGGATTCCTTGGTGGGAAATAACTGGGATGGCCCCTGGATCAACAAAGCCACTTTGGCTGCCCGTAACTGTAGCCATTGCTGCCTGAGGAACCTCCATTACATCACCTCTACCCCACCATGTCCCTTTCTTGCATCTTTCTGTTGGCCTCGGCTTTCTGGAAGGGTCACAGTGATTCAGTGGACACTAAGCATACCCATGGATAGAAAGGAAACACTGAAGAAAGGATGAAACCCAGGGAATGGCTTTGATCCTGGTCAGTGACATCAATATGCCATTTTCTCTTAGTAGGTGTTGACTTGTACTGCAGGATGAGTCTGAGAAGTCAGGAAAATGCAGCATGTGAGTGCCTGTGTGGTCCTTGGGCTTCAGGACATTGCTTTGGCTTCTTTGTGATGTGGCATTGGGGTGTTGTGGGAACATCCTTTGAGACAGGTTGTGTTTTCTCTTCATAGCCCTACTGACTCTTCCATGGGATTGCAATCTCAAGGAAGGTATGCTGACTGACTGACCCAAATGGGGCCCATTGCTGCTAAGCCTGAGCTGGCCATGGGCCCAGCTTCATTCTCGCCTCTGCACTCTGGCACTTGATGTGTTCTCATATCACCCTTGCAGAACCGTGTCTTGGTTGGTCTTCTTCACCAGTGTTTGAGCCACCTGGAGCACTGCTTTTTCAAGGGCTTCTACCTTTGGGTTCCTGAACCTGGCTCAAGACTTTGTTTTTTGTCCTGGCTGGGTAGAGTTTCTCAGTGCCATGGTTTCCACTGTGACAGCCATTTTCTTGACAGGGCTCCTTCATGATCAGATGGCAGTGCACTCAAAGGGCCCTTTCCCGGGAGCCAAGGTTTCCGGTTTCACTCTCCTTTCCAGTGGATAGTGTGGTCATTCCAATGCTTTGTCCACAAGGGCTGACCCCAAACTTGCAGCGCCTCTGAAGGGAACTTGGACAGAAGCATGGTTGGCTCTGCAAGGATCTTCCCTTTGCATGTTGTTCTCCTGAGACATACTTTCCTTTTTTTGGCTTTGGCTGGTCTCAGAACTCCTGGGAAAGTATCCATGAAGCAAGGCTGTTCCCTGAAGTCAAGTCATCGATTTGACCTCTGATGCTGGCATGAGTATGTTCTCGAACTGTGACCTAAGATACCTGGAGATTTGTCTGCCAGTATTCTGTCAAACCAACGTGAGAATCTGACCCAATATTTTGAGTGGGTCAGGCCCCAATCCTCCACTTGTGGACAAGACCAGACCTGAGCTGGTGTGTGTTGCTGTCTATCCTCTGTCATCTGAGTGAGCAAACATGAGAGATGGCGTGGTTCCTTTTGATTTTCTCCCACCTTCCCCACATGCCAGGAGCATCCACCAGACACTGACTTGACTAAGCATGTGCTAACATGGTTCTCAGTTGCTTTCCTGGAGGGGCTAGAGAATTCCTAGAGGTGTACCCAGGTGGCCCATCACCTGAAGCAGTAGGCTCGGTGAAGTTAGGTTCTTTCTGGGCTCCCACTGAGACACGGAGATGTCAGATGCCTAGTTCCTAGATCCTTTCACTTCTCCTGCCTCGTCACCTTCCCTTGAGGAAGGGAAGAGCTGATCTCAAACAGTGAGCCATAGACAAGGAAGGGAACCCACTTGTAAGAGTGGGGTAAAGGCTGGCACCATGGCTCAATAGGCTAATCCTCCACCTGTGTCACCGGCACACCAGGTTCTAGTCTCGGTCAGGGTGCCAGATTCTGTCCTGGTTGCTCCTCTTCCTGTCCAGCTCTCTGCTGTGGCCCGGGAGTGCAGGGGAAGATGGCCCAAGTGCTTGGGCCCTGCACCTACAAGGGAGACCAGGAGAAGCACCTGGCTCATGACTTTGGATCGGCGCAGTGTGCTGGCCGCAGTGGCCATTGGGAGTGAAAAAACAGAAAAGGAAGACATTTCTCTCTCTCTCTCTCTCTCCCATTGTACACTCTGCCAGTGGGGGGAAAAAAAAGAGTGGGGTGAAACCAAGAAATTTGTGGCCTAACAGGAGGACTGCCAACCCCAAGCGTGGTACCACCCCCAACCATGCCAGGTTTCCTTCCTCGGGATTTTATTTCGTAGAAAACCCCCACAATGTCTCTGAACTGACATAAGCACCCACAATAGGAGTTTGTAATGAGGGAGTGGGAGAACATTTCTCTGCTTGGTTTCAGAGGCAGAGACAGTCTGTCATCTGAAAAGAGACTCAGACCAAATGTGTTTCTTCTTCTTCCATAGGCACTAGCACCCAAGAGTCTCAGGTGTGCTCTCCTATGCTGGATGTGCCAGACCAACCGGCGACTGATGAATCCGAGACTGACCATGGTAGGGGTCCTGTGTCTTGTGTCCTATGGCATGGGTGACCCCTGGGTTGACAGAGCTCATTTTCTGAGACCAGGCTTCATGTTCCCTGTGGGACTGGGAAGCTGCTGCAAAGGGATTCCTTGTCCCCACAAAAGTGCCTGTGCTCTTGAGCTGTGGTGGAATCCTCAGCTATCTGCCCAGAAAGGATGTACTTCCTGGGTAGAGAAGTGTCAGAGTGCGAGTCAGGTTCACCAAGACACCGCATGTCCTCCAGGATTCTCTCATTGGCTGCACACTGCCTGGGCCTTTCTGCAAGTTCTCAGAGTCTTCTCGTTGTGTCTCCTTACTCGTTGGTGAGGGGGTTATGGATCCTGGTACCCATGTCTGCTACTGCCATGAATCCATCTGGTGCCAAAGCTGCCAAGCTAACATGCATTGCTTCTTCAACAGACGGTGCACGTGCAGAGCCCTGATTGGCCTCAGTGTTGAGTGTCCTAGCTGCACCACATGGCCCAGTGTGTGGAGGTTCGGGGATGCCTGGCCTGAGCTCGGCCTGGGCCCAGACGTGAATTCTGAACTGTGCTCCCTGAGCTCCTGAGAAATGCAGTGGCATGCTGCTCCAGGAATCCTCCTTCTTTCCCCTGTGTTCTCGTTCACCTTACACCCAGAGCCAATAGGCACCAATGCTTGCATGAGGGATAAACTTGGCTTAAAGCTTTAGAACCCATGGGGCAAGATGGACTCTTGGTGGGAAATGGCTGGGGAGTCCTAGGACTAACACAGCCACTTTGGCTGCCATGACAGTATCCATGGCTGCCCAAGTGACACCCATTGCATCACCTCTACCCCACCATGTCCCTTGCTTGCATCTTCCTGTTGGTCTTGGCTTTCTTAAGGGTCATGGCAATTCAGTGGACACTAAGCATACCCATGGATAGAAAGGAAACATCTAAGAAAGGATGAAACACAAGGGATCATTTTTTTCCCACTCAGTGACATCCATGCACCATTTTCTCTTAGTAGGTGTGGCTCATTAACCAGGATGTTAACACGAAGTAAGGAATATCCAGCATGTGCGTGCATGTGGTCTTTTGGCTTCAGAATGTTGCTCTTCCTTAACTGGGATGTGGTGTTGGGGTGTGTGGGAACATCCTTTGAGACATGTTGTGTTTTCCTTTCATTGGAGTCCGATCTCGAGGAAGGTATGCTGCATGACTAAAATGGGTCCCATTGCTGCCAGGCCTGAGCTAACCGTGGGCCCTGCTGATAACATTATCTGCAAACTAACCCTTGATGTGTACTTGTAACAAAATTACAGACACATGTCTTTGTTGGTCTCCAGCAATGTTTGAGACAACTGGAGCACTGCTTTTTCAAGTGCTTCTGCCTTCAGGTTTCATAACCTTGCTTGAAGGATTTTTTTGTCCCAGATGTTGAGAGTTTCTTGGTGAAACAGTGTCCAGAGTGACAGCCACTTTCTTGCCGGGTTTCTACCAACCTGAGGGCAGCACACTAGTGGGTATTTTCTAAGGTGCCAAAGTTTCTAGTTTCACTCAGCTTTCCACCAGGTATGTGGTCACTTCAATACATGGCCCAAAGAGCTGGCCCTGAACTCGCAGTGTCGCTGATGGGGAAACAGTAAAAAAATTGCTTGCCTACAGAAGATCTTCTCTTTGCCAGTTCTCCAGAGACATAACCTTCCATTGTTTGACTTTGGCTGATTCAGAACACCAGGGAGTGTGCCTCAAGCATGGCTATTGCCCAAGGTCAAGTCATCGATTTGACCTCTGATGCTGGCACGAGTGTGTTCTCCAAACCTGCCCTAAGGCACCTTGAGATTTGTCTGCCGTGGAGTCTGTGCACTCTACATGAGAATCTGACCCAGTGTCCTGGAGTGGGGCAGGCCACGATCCTGTGCTGGGGGGGAAGAGCAGACCCGAGCTGGTACGTGGCCACGCTTGCCGTCTGTTCGCTGTGCGCTGTCCTCTGTTCACTGTCCTCTGAATGAGCACACATGAGAGATGTCGTGGTGGCTTCAAATTTTCTCCCAACTCCCCCATGTGCCAGGAGCTGTCCACTGGGGACTGACTCGACAAAGCATGTGCAGGACATGAGCTGGCTCATGGGAATTGAGGCTCTCAGTTGCTGTGCTGCTGGACAGGGAATTCCTAGAGCTGTACCCACCTGACCCCCCACGGACATTAGGCTCATTCTGGTCTCCCACTGGAACACGGAGTGAGCACTTACCCTCGTTCCCAGATCCTTTCCCTTCACATGCCTCGTCGCCTCTCCCTGTGGAAGGGAAGGGCTGATCTTAACACTTGAGCGGCAGACAGGGATGGAAACCTACTTTCCAGAGTGTGGTTAAACCAAGAAATTGTGTGGCCCAACATTTGAGGACTGTTCCCCTGACACCCAGCCCAGGCCCCAACCAACCCAGTTTCTCTCCCTCTGGAGTGTTTTCATAGACACGACCCCATGAGGCCTCCGAACTGAAATAAGCACCCACAATAGGAGTTTGTGATGTGGGGGTGGGAGAACATTTCTCTGCCTGGTTTCAGAGGCGGAGGCAGTCTGTCATCAGAAACGAGACTCAGACCAAATTTGTTTCTTCTTCTTCCAAAGGCACTAGCACACAAGAGAATCGAGTGTGCTCTCCTAAGCTGGACTTGCCAGACCAACCGGTGACTGATGAATCTGAGACTGACCATGGTAGGGGCCTTGTGTCTTGTGTCCTATGCCCCTGGGTGACCACTGGGTTGACAGAGCTCATTTTCTGAGAACCGGCTTCATGTTCCCTATGGGACTGGGACTGGGAAGCTGTCGCAAAGTGATTCCTTGTCCCAAAAAATGTGCCTGTGCTCTTGAGCTGTGGTGGAATCCTCAGCTATCTGCCCAGAAAGGATGTACTTCCTGGGTAGAGAAGTGTCAGGGTGCGAGTCATGTTCACCGAGACCGCCGCATGTCCTCCAGGATTCTCTCATTGGCTGCACACTGCCTGGGCCTTTCTGCAAGTTCTCAGAGTCTTCTCGTTGTGTCTCCTTACTCGTTGGTGAGGGGGTTATGGATCCTGGTACCCATGTCTGCTACTGCCATGAAGCCGTCTGGTGCAAAACCTGCCAAGCTAGCACGCGTTGATTCTTCAACAGACGGTGCACATGCAGAGCCCTGATTGGCCTCAGCATCGAGTGTCCTAGCTGCACCTCGTGGCCCAGTGTGCAGAGGTTCGGGGATGCCTGGCCTGAGCCCAGCCTGGGCCCAGACATGAATTTTGAACTGTGCACGCTGGGCTCCCGAGAAATGCAGTGGCATGCTGCCCCAGGAGTCCTCCTTCTTTCCCCTGTGTTCCCCTTCTGCTTACACCCAGAGCCAACATGCACCCAAGCTTACATGAAGATCCCTTTGCCTTGGACCCTTTAGACTCTGTCTGGGCAGCATGGGACTCCTTGATGGGCAATGGCCAGGGTGGGCCCTGGACTAACACAGCCACTTTGGCTGCCCGTGACAGTATCCGTGGCTGCCCAAGGGACACCCATTGCACCATCTCTACCCCACCATGTCCCTTGCCTTCATCTTTCTGTTGGCCTCGGCTTTCTGGAAGGGTCACGGCAATTCAGTGGACACTAACTAAGAAAGGATGGAAAGGAAACATCTAAGAAAGGATGGAAAACAGGGGATCGTTTTGTTCCCGCTCAGTTATGTCCATGCGCCATTTTCTCTGAGTAGGAGTTGACTCGTCCAGCGTATGCGTGCGTGCGGTCCTTGGGCTTCAGAACGTTGCTCCTCCTCCTTTGGGACGTGGTGTTGGGGTGTTGTGGGGACATCCTTTGAGACAGGCTGTGTTTTCTCTTCACAGACCTCCCGGTGCTCCCTCGGGAGGCTGACCTTGACGAAGGTATGTTGACTGACCGACTCCAACTCCAATGGGGCCCGTTGCTGCCAGGCCTGAGCTGGCTGTAGGCCCAGCTCCATGCAAGCCTCTGCACCCTGGCACTTGGTGTGTTCTCCTAACACATGTGCAGACACGCGCCTTTGAAGGCGTCCACAAATATCGGAACCACCTGGAGCGCTGCTTGTTCAAGTGCCTCTGCCTTTGGGGTTCCTAACCTTGCTTGAAGGCTGCGTGTTTTGTCCCGGATGGGGAGAGTTTCTCGGTGCCACAGTGTCCACTGCGACAGCCATTTTCTTGCGGGGTTCAACCATGATCTGACGGCAGCACGCTCCATGGGCACTTTCCCAGAAGCCAAGGTTTCCAGCCTGACTCTGTTTTCCGCCGGGTGCTGTGGTCACTCCAATGCTTGGCTCAGGAGTGCCAACTCGCAGCGCCTCTGAGGGAACTTAGGAAGGAAAACCTTTGGCCCCGGCAGGATCTTCTCTTTGCCTGCTGTTCTCCTGAAACTTCACTTTCCTTGTTTGGCTTTGGCTGGTTCCGAACCTCCGGGAAAGCGTGCCTGAAGCATGGCTGTTGCCCGAGGTCAAGTCATCGATTTGACCTCTGATGCTGGCACGAGTGTGTTCTCCAAACCTGCCCTAAGGCACCTTGAGATTTGTCTGCCGTGGAGTCTGTGCACTCTACATGAGAATCTGACCCAGTGTCCTGGAGTGGGGCAGGCCACGATCCTGAGAAGAGCAGACCCAAGCTGGTGCATGGCCACGCTTGCCTTCTGTCCGCTGTCCGCTGTCCGCTGTCCTCTGTCCTCTGAGGGAGCGCACATGAGAGATGTCGTGGCGGCTTTGGATTTTCTCCCAACTCCCCCACGTGCCGGGAGCTGTCCACCGGGGACTGACTCGACCAAGCATGTGCAGGACATGAGCTAGCTCATGTGAATTGAGGCTCTCAGTTGCTGTGCTGCTGGACAGGGAATTCCTAGAGCTGTACCCACCTGACCCCTCACGGACATTAGGCTCATTCTGGTCTCCCACTGGAACACGGAGTGAGCACTTGCCCTAGTTCCCGGATCCTTTCACTTCACATGCCTCGTCACCTTCCCTTGTGGAAGGGAAGAGCCACAGACAAGGAGGGGAACCCACTTGTAAGAGTGGGGTGAAACCAAGAGATTGTGTGGCCCGACTGGAGGACTGCCCGCCCCCAGGCCTGGCCCCACCCCCAACCATTCCAGGTTCCCTTCCTCAGGTTTTTATTTCCTAGAAAACCCCCACAATGTCTCTGAACTGACATAAGCACCCACAATAGGAGTTTGTGATGAGGCGGTGGGAGAACATTTCTCGTCCTGGCTTCAGAGGCGGAGGCGGTCTGTCATCTGAAAAGAGTCTCAGACCAAATTTGTTTCTTCTTCCTCCACAGACACTAGCACCCGAGAGTCTCGGGTGTGCTCTCCTGAGCGGGACTTGCCGGACCAAATGACGACTGATGAATCCGAGACTGACCATGGTAGGGGCCCTGTGTCTTGTGTCCTATGCCCCTGGGTGACCACTGGGTTGACAGAGCTCATTTTCTGAGAACCGGCTTCATGTTCCCTATGGGACTGGGAAGCTGTCGCAAAGTGATTCCTTGTCCCAAAACATGTGCCTGTGCTCTTGAGCTGTGGTGGAATCCTCAGCTATCTGCCCAGAAAGGATGTACTTCCTGGGTAGAGAAGTGTCAGGGTGCGAGTCATGTTCACCGAGACCGCCGCATGTCCTCCAGGATTCTCTCATTGGCTGCACACTGCCTGGGCCTTTCTGCAAGTTCTCAGAGTCTTCTCGTTGTGTCTCCTTACTCGTTGGTGAGGGGGTTATGGATCCTGGTACCCATGTCTGCTACTGCCATGAAGCCGTCTGGTGCAAAACCTGCCAAGCTAGCACGCGTTGATTCTTCAACAGACGGTGCACATGCAGAGCCCTGATTGGCCTCAGCATCGAGTGTCCTAGCTGCACCTCGTGGCCCAGTGTGCAGAGGTTCGGGGATGCCTGGCCTGAGCCCAGCCTGGGCCCAGACGTGAATTTTGAACTGTGCACGCTGGGCTCCCGAGAAATGCAGTGGCATGCTGCCCCAGGAGTCCTCCTTCTTTCCCCTGTGTTCCCCTTCTGCTTACACCCAGAGCCAACATGCACCCAAGCTTACATGAAGATCCCTTTGCCTTTAGACTCTGTCTGGGCAGCATGGGACTCCTTGATGGGCAATGGCCAGGGTGGGCCCTGGACTAACACAGCCACTTTGGCTGCCCGTGACAGTATCCGTGGCTGCCCAAGGGACACCCATTGCACCATCTCTACCCCACCATGTCCCTTGCCTTCATCTTTCTGTTGGCCTCGGCTTTCTGGAAGGGTCACGGCAATTCAGTGGACACTAAGCTTACCCACGGATGGAAAGGAAACATCTAAGAAAGGATGGAAAACAGGGGATCGTTTTGTTCCCGCTCAGTTATGTCCATGCGCCATTTTCTCTGAGTAGGAGTTGACTCGTTCTGCAGGATGAGACCTCAAAGTCAGCACAATCCAGCGTATGCGTGCGTGCGGTCCTTGGGCTTCAGAATGTTGCTCCTCCTCCTCTGGGACGTGGTGTTGGGGTGCTGTGGGGACATCCTTTGAGACAGGCTGTGTTTTCTCTTCACAGACCTCCCGGTGCTCCCTCGGGAGGCTGACCTTGACGAAGGTATGTTGACTGACCGACTCCAACTCCAATGGGGCCCGTTGCTGCCAGGCCTGAGCTGGCTGTAGGCCCAGCTCCATGCAAGCCTCTGCACCCTGGCACTTGGTGTGTTCTCCTAACACATGTGCAGACACGCGCCTTTGAAGGCGTCCACAAATATCGGAACCACCTGGAGCGCTGCTTGTTCAAGTGCCTCTGCCTTTGGGGTTCCTAACCTTGCTTGAAGGCTGCGTGTTTTGTCCCGGATGGGGAGAGTTTCTCGGTGCCACAGTGTCCACTGCGACAGCCATTTTCTTGCGGGGTTCAACCATGATCTGACGGCAGCACGCTCCATGGGCACTTTCCCAGAAGCCAAGGTTTCCAGCCTGACTCTGTTTTCCGCCGGGTGCTGTGGTCACTCCAATGCTTGGCTCAGGAGTGCCAACTCGCAGCGCCTCTGAGGGAACTTAGGAAGGAAAACCTTTGGCCCCGGCAGGATCTTCTCTTTGCCTGCTGTTCTCCTGAAACTTCACTTTCCTTGTTTGGCTTTGGCTGGTTCCGAACCTCCGGGAAAGCGTGCCTGAAGCATGGCTGTTGCCCGAGGTCAAGTCATCGATTTGACCTCTGATGCTGGCACGAGTGTGTTCTCCAAACCTGCCCTAAGGCACCTTGAGATTTGTCTGCCGTGGAGTCTGTGCACTCTACATGAGAATCTGACCCAGTGTCCTGGAGTGGGGCAGGCCACGATCCTGCGCTGGGGGAGAAGAGCAGACCCAAGCTGGTGCATGGCCACGCTTGCCTTCTGTCCGCTGTCCGCTGTCCTCTGTCCTCTGAGGGAGCACACATGAGAAATGTCCTGGCGGCTTTGGATTTTCTCCCAACTCCCCCACGTGCCGGGAGCTGTCCACCGGGGACTGACTCGACCAAGCATGTGCAGGACATGAGCTAGCTCATGTGAATTGAGGCTCTCAGTTGCTGTGCTGCTGGACAGGGAATTCCTAGAGCTGTACCCACCTGACCCCTCACGGACATTAGGCTCATTCTGGTCTCCCACTGGAACACGGAGTGAGCACTTGCCCTAGTTCCCGGATCCTTTCACTTCACATGCCTCGTCACCTTCCCTTGTGGAAGGGAAGAGCCACAGACAAGGAGGGGAACCCACTTGTAAGAGTGGGGTGAAACCAAGAGATTGTGTGGCCCGACTGGAGGACTGCCCGCCCCCAGGCCTGGCCCCACCCCCAACCATTCCAGGTTCCCTTCCTCAGGTTTTTATTTCCTAGAAAACCCCCACAATGTCTCTGAACTGACATAAGCACCCACAATAGGAGTTTGTGATGAGGGGGTGGGAGAACATTTCTCTGCCTGGCTTCAGAGGCGGAGGCGGTCTGTCATCTGAAAAGAGTCTCAGACCAAATTTGTTTCTTCTTCCTCCACAGACACTAGCACCCGAGAGTCTCGGGTGTGCTCTCCTGAGCGGGACTTGCCGGACCAAATGACGACTGATGAATCCGAGACTGACCATGGTAGGGGCCCTGTGTCTTGTGTCCTATGCCCCTGGGTGACCACTGGGTTGACAGAGCTCATTTTCTGAGAACCGGCTTCATGTTCCCTATGGGACTGGGACTGGGAAGCTGTCGCAAAGTGATTCCTTGTCCCAAAACATGTGCCTGTGCTCTTGAGCTGTGGTGGAATCCTCAGCTATCTGCCCAGAAAGGATGTACTTCCTGGGTAGAGAAGTGTCAGGGTGCGAGTCATGTTCACCGAGACCGCCGCATGTCCTCCAGGATTCTCTCATTGGCTGCACACTGCCTGGGCCTTTCTGCAAGTTCTCAGAGTCTTCTCGTTGTGTCTCCTTACTCGTTGGTGAGGGGGTTATGGATCCTGGTACCCATGTCTGCTACTGCCATGAAGCCGTCTGGTGCAAAACCTGCCAAGCTAGCACGCGTTGATTCTTCAACAGACGGTGCACATGCAGAGCCCTGATTGGCCTCAGCATCGAGTGTCCTAGCTGCACCTCGTGGCCCAGTGTGCAGAGGTTCGGGGATGCCTGGCCTGAGCCCAGCCTGGGCCCAGACGTGAATTTTGAACTGTGCACGCTGGGCTCCCGAGAAATGCAGTGGCATGCTGCCCCAGGAGTCCTCCTTCTTTCCCCTGTGTTCCCCTTCTGCTTACACCCAGAGCCAACATGCACCCAAGCTTACATGAAGATCCCTTTGCCTTGGACCCTTTAGACTCTGTCTGGGCAGCATGGGACTCCTTGATGGGCAATGGCCAGGGTGGGCCCTGGACTAACACAGCCACTTTGGCTGCCCGTGACAGTATCCGTGGCTGCCCAAGGGACACCCATTGCACCATCTCTACCCCACCATGTCCCTTGCCTTCATCTTTCTGTTGGCCTCGGCTTTCTGGAAGGGTCACGGCAATTCAGTGGACACTAAGCTTACCCACGGATGGAAAGGAAACATCTAAGAAAGGATGGAAAACAGGGGATCGTTTTGTTCCCGCTCAGTTATGTCCATGCGCCATTTTCTCTGAGTAGGAGTTGACTCGTTCTGCAGGATGAGACCTCAAAGTCAGCACAATCCAGCGTATGCGTGCGTGCGGTCCTTGGGCTTCAGAACGTTGCTCCTCCTCCTTTGGGACGTGGTGTTGGGGTGTTGTGGGGACATCCTTTGAGACAGGCTGTGTTTTCTCTTCACAGACCTCCCGGTGCTCCCTCGGGAGGCTGACCTTGACGAAGGTATGTTGACTGACCGACTCCAACTCCAATGGGGCCCGTTGCTGCCAGGCCTGAGCTGGCTGTAGGCCCAGCTCCATGCAAGCCTCTGCACCCTGGCACTTGGTGTGTTCTCCTAACACATGTGCAGACACGCGCCTTTGAAGGTGTCCACAAATATCGGAGCCACCTGGAGCGCTGCTTGTTCAAGTGCCTCTGCCTTTGGGGTTCCTAACCTTGCTTGAAGGCTGCGTGTTTTGTCCCGGATGGGGAGAGTTTCTCGGTGCCACAGTGTCCACTGCGACAGCCATTTTCTTGCGGGGTTCAACCATGATCTGACGGCAGCACGCTCCATGGCACTTTCCCAGAAGCCAAGGTTTCCAGCCTGACTCTGTTTTCCGCCGGGTGCTGTGGTCACTCCAATGCTTGGCTCAGGAGTGCCAACTCGCAGCGCCTCTGAGGGAACTTAGGAAGGAAAACCTTTGGCCCCGGCAGGATCTTCTCTTTGCCTGCTGTTCTCCTGAAACTTCACTTTCCTTGTTTGGCTTTGGCTGGTTCCGAACCTCCGGGAAAGCGTGCCTGAAGCATGGCTGTTGCCCGAGGTCAAGTCATCGATTTGACCTCTGATGCTGGCACGAGTGTGTTCTCCAAACCTGCCCTAAGGCACCTTGAGATTTGTCTGCCGTGGAGTCTGTGCACTCTACATGAGAATCTGACCCAGTGTCCTGGAGTGGGGCAGGCCACGATCCTGCGCTGGGGGAGAAGAGCAGACCCAAGCTGGTGCATGGCCACGCTTGCCTTCTGTCCGCTGTCCGCTGTCCTCTGTCCTCTGAGGGAGCGCACATGAGAGATGTCGTGGCGGCTTTGGATTTTCTCCCAACTCCCCCACGTGCCGGGAGCTGTCCACCGGGGACTGACTCGACCAAGCATGTGCAGGACATGAGCTAGCTCATGTGAATTGAGGCTCTCAGTTGCTGTGCTGCTGGACAGGGAATTCCTAGAGCTGTACCCACCTGACCCCTCACGGACATTAGGCTCATTCTGGTCTCCCACTGGAACACGGAGTGAGCACTTGCCCTAGTTCCCGGATCCTTTCACTTCACATGCCTCGTCACCTTCCCTTGTGGAAGGGAAGAGCCACAGACAAGGAGGGGAACCCACTTGTAAGAGTGGGGTGAAACCAAGAGATTGTGTGGCCCGACTGGAGGACTGCCCGCCCCCAGGCCTGGCCCCACCCCCAACCATTCCAGGTTCCCTTCCTCAGGTTTTTATTTCCTAGAAAACCCCCACAATGTCTCTGAACTGACATAAGCACCCACAATAGGAGTTTGTGATGAGGCGGTGGGAGAACATTTCTCTGCCTGGCTTCAGAGGCGGAGGCGGTCTGTCATCTGAAAAGAGTCTCAGACCAAATTTGTTTCTTCTTCCTCCACAGACACTAGCACCCCCGAGTCTCGGGTGTGCTCTCCTAAGCGGGACTTGCCGGACCAAATGACGACTGATGAATCCGAGACTGACCATGGTAGGGGCCCTGTGTCTTGTGTCCTATGCCCCTGGGTGACCACTGGGTTGACAGAGCTCATTTTCTGAGAACCGGCTTCATGTTCCCTATGGGACTGGGAAGCTGTCGCAAAGTGATTCCTTGTCCCAAAACATGTGCCTGTGCTCTTGAGCTGTGGTGGAATCCTCAGCTATCTGCCCAGAAAGGATGTACTTCCTGGGTAGAGAAGTGTCAGGGTGCGAGTCATGTTCACCGAGACCGCCGCATGTCCTCCAGGATTCTCTCATTGGCTGCACACTGCCTGGGCCTTTCTGCAAGTTCTCAGAGTCTTCTCGTTGTGTCTCCTTACTCGTTGGTGAGGGGGTTATGGATCCTGGTACCCATGTCTGCTACTGCCATGAAGCCGTCTGGTGCAAAACCTGCCAAGCTAGCACGCGTTGATTCTTCAACAGACGGTGCACATGCAGAGCCCTGATTGGCCTCAGCATCGAGTGTCCTAGCTGCACCTCGTGGCCCAGTGTGCAGAGGTTCGGGGATGCCTGGCCTGAGCCCAGCCTGGGCCCAGACGTGAATTTTGAACTGTGCACGCTGGGCTCCCGGGAAATGCAGTGGCATGCTGCCCCAGGAGTCCTCCTTCTTTCCCCTGTGTTCCCCTTCTGCTTACACCCAGAGCCAACATGCACCCAAGCTTACATGAAGATCCCTTTGCCTTGGACCCTTTAGACTCTGTCTGGGCAGCATGGGACTCCTTGATGGGCAATGGCCAGGGTGGGCCCTGGACTAACACAGCCACTTTGGCTGCCCGTGACAGTATCCGTGGCTGCCCAAGGGACACCCATTGCACCATCTCTACCCCACCATGTCCCTTGCCTTCATCTTTCTGTTGGCCTCGGCTTTCTGGAAGGGTCACGGCAATTCAGTGGACACTAAGCTTACCCACGGATGGAAAGGAAACATCTAAGAAAGGATGGAAAACAGGGGATCGTTTTGTTCCCGCTCAGTTATGTCCATGCGCCATTTTCTCTGAGTAGGAGTTGACTCGTTCTGCAGGATGAGACCTCAAAGTCAGCACAATCCAGCGTATGCGTGCGTGCGGTCCTTGGGCTTCAGAACGTTGCTCCTCCTCCTTTGGGACGTGGTGTTGGGGTGTTGTGGGGACATCCTTTGAGACAGGCTGTGTTTTCTCTTCACAGACCTCCCGGTGCTCCCTCGGGAGGCTGACCTTGACGAAGGTATGTTGACTGACCGACTCCAACTCCAATGGGGCCCGTTGCTGCCAGGCCTGAGCTGGCTGTAGGCCCAGCTCCATGCAAGCCTCTGCACCCTGGCACTTGGTGTGTTCTCCTAACACATGTGCAGACACGCACCTTTGAAGGCGTCCACAAATATCGGAGCCACCTGGAGCGCTGCTTGTTCAAGTGCCTCTGCCTTTGGGGTTCCTAACCTTGCTTGAAGGCTGCGTGTTTTGTCCCGGATGGGGAGAGTTTCTCGGTGCCACAGTGTCCACTGCGACAGCCATTTTCTTGCGGGGTTCAACCATGATCTGACGGCAGCACGCTCCATGGCACTTTCCCAGAAGCCAAGGTTTCCAGCCTGACTCTGTTTTCCGCCGGGTGCTGTGGTCACTCCAATGCTTGGCTCAGGAGTGCCAACTCGCAGCGCCTCTGAGGGAACTTAGGAAGGAAAACCTTTGGCCCCGGCAGGATCTTCTCTTTGCCTGCTGTTCTCCTGAAACTTCACTTTCCTTGTTTGGCTTTGGCTGGTTCCAAACCTCCGGGAAAGCGTGCCTGAAGCATGGCTGTTGCCCGAGGTCAAGTCATCGATTTGACCTCTGATGCTGGCACGAGTGTGTTCTCCAAACCTGCCCTAAGGCACCTTGAGATTTGTCTGCCGTGGAGTCTGTGCACTCTACATGAGAATCTGACCCAGTGTCCTGGAGTGGGGCAGGCCACGATCCTGCGCTGGGGGAGAAGAGCAGACCCAAGCTGGTGCATGGCCACGCTTGCCTTCTGTCCGCTGTCCGCTGTCCTCTGTCCTCTGAGGGAGCGCACATGAGAGATGTTGTGGCGGCTTTGGATTTTCTCCCAACTCCCCCACGTGCCGGGAGCTGTCCACCGGGGACTGACTCGACCAAGCATGTGCAGGACATGAGCTAGCTCATGTGAATTGAGGCTCTCAGTTGCTGTGCTGCTGGACAGGGAATTCCTAGAGCTGTACCCACCTGACCCCTCACGGACATTAGGCTCATTCTGGTCTCCCACTGGAACACGGAGTGAGCACTTGCCCTAGTTCCCGGATCCTTTCACTTCACATGCCTCGTCACCTTCCCTTGTGGAAGGGAAGAGCCACAGACAAGGAGGGGAACCCACTTGTAAGAGTGGGGTGAAACCAAGAGATTGTGTGGCCCGACTGGAGGACTGCCCGCCCCCAGGCCTGGCCCCACCCCCAACCATTCCAGGTTCCCTTCCTCAGGTTTTTATTTCCTAGAAAACCCCCACAATGTCTCTGAACTGACATAAGCACCCACAATAGGAGTTTGTGATGAGGGGGTGGGAGAACATTTCTCTGCCTGGCTTCAGAGGCGGAGGCGGTCTGTCATCTGAAAAGAGTCTCAGACCAAATTTGTTTCTTCTTCCTCCACAGACACTAGCACCCCCGAGGCTCGGGTGTGCTCTCCTGAGCGGGACTTGCCGGACCAAATGACGACTGATGAATCCGAGACTGACCATGGTAGGGGCCCTGTGTCTTGTGTCCTATGCCCCTGGGTGACCACTGGGTTGACAGAGCTCATTTTCTGAGAACCGGCTTCATGTTCCCTATGGGACTGGGAAGCTGTCGCAAAGTGATTCCTTGTCCCAAAACATGTGCCTGTGCTCTTGAGCTGTGGTGGAATCCTCAGCTATCTGCCCAGAAAGGATGTACTTCCTGGGTAGAGAAGTGTCAGGGTGCGAGTCATGTTCACCGAGACCGCCGCATGTCCTCCAGGATTCTCTCATTGGCTGCACACTGCCTGGGCCTTTCTGCAAGTTCTCAGAGTCTTCTCGTTGTGTCTCCTTACTCGTTGGTGAGGGGGTTATGGATCCTGGTACCCATGTCTGCTACTGCCATGAAGCCGTCTGGTGCAAAACCTGCCAAGCTAGCACGCGTTGATTCTTCAACAGACGGTGCACATGCAGAGCCCTGATTGGCCTCAGCATCGAGTGTCCTAGCTGCACCTCGTGGCCCAGTGTGCAGAGGTTCGGGGATGCCTGGCCTGAGCCCAGCCTGGGCCCAGACATGAATTTTGAACTGTGCACGCTGGGCTCCCGGGAAATGCAGTGGCATGCTGCCCCAGGAGTCCTCCTTCTTTCCCCTGTGTTCCCCTTCTGCTTACACCCAGAGCCAACATGCACCCAAGCTTACATGAAGATCCCTTTGCCTTGGACCCTTTAGACTCTGTCTGGGCAGCATGGGACTCCTTGATGGGCAATGGCCAGGGTGGGCCCTGGACTAACACAGCCACTTTGGCTGCCCGTGACAGTATCCGTGGCTGCCCAAGGGACACCCATTGCACCATCTCTACCCCACCATGTCCCTTGCCTTCATCTTTCTGTTGGCCTCGGCTTTCTGGAAGGGTCACGGCAATTCAGTGGACACTAAGCTTACCCACGGATGGAAAGGAAACATCTAAGAAAGGATGGAAAACAGGGGATCGTTTTGTTCCCGCTCAGTTATGTCCATGCGCCATTTTCTCTGAGTAGGAGTTGACTCGTTCTGCAGGATGAGACCTCAAAGTCAGCACAATCCAGCGTATGCGTGCGTGCGGTCCTTGGGCTTCAGAACGTTGCTCCTCCTCCTCTGGGACGTGGTGTTGGGGTGCTGTGGGGACATCCTTTGAGACAGGCTGTGTTTTCTCTTCACAGACCTCCCGGTGCTCCCTCGGGAGGCTGACCTTGACGAAGGTATGTTGACTGACCGACTCCAACTCCAATGGGGCCCGTTGCTGCCAGGCCTGAGCTGGCTGTAGGCCCAGCTCCATGCAAGCCTCTGCACCCTGGCACTTGGTGTGTTCTCCTAACACATGTGCAGACACGCGCCTTTGAAGGCGTCCACAAATATCGGAACCACCTGGAGCGCTGCTTGTTCAAGTGCCTCTGCCTTTGGGGTTCCTAACCTTGCTTGAAGGCTGCGTGTTTTGTCCCGGATGGGGAGAGTTTCTCGGTGCCACAGTGTCCACTGCGACAGCCATTTTCTTGCGGGGTTCAACCATGATCTGACGGCAGCACGCTCCATGGCACTTTCCCAGAAGCCAAGGTTTCCAGCCTGACTCTGTTTTCCGCCGGGTGCTGTGGTCACTCCAATGCTTGGCTCAGGAGTGCCAACTCGCAGCGCCTCTGAGGGAACTTAGGAAGGAAAACCTTTGGCCCCGGCAGGATCTTCTCTTTGCCTGCTGTTCTCCTGAAACTTCACTTTCCTTGTTTGGCTTTGGCTGGTTCCGAACCTCCGGGAAAGCGTGCCTGAAGCATGGCTGTTGCCCGAGGTCAAGTCATCGATTTGACCTCTGATGCTGGCACGAGTGTGTTCTCCAAACCTGCCCTAAGGCACCTTGAGATTTGTCTGCCGTGGAGTCTGTGCACTCTACATGAGAATCTGACCCAATGTCCTGGAGTGGGGCAGGCCACGATCCTGCGCTGGGGGAGAAGAGCAGACCCAAGCTGGTGCATGGCCACGCTTGCCTTCTGTCCGCTGTCCGCTGTCCTCTGTCCTCTGAGGGAGCGCACATGAGAGATGTCGTGGCGGCTTTGGATTTTCTCCCAACTCCCCCACGTGCCGGGAGCTGTCCACCGGGGACTGACTCGACCAAGCATGTGCAGGACATGAGCTAGCTCATGTGAATTGAGGCTCTCAGTTGCTGTGCTGCTGGACAGGGAATTCCTAGAGCTGTACCCACCTGACCCCTCACGGACATTAGGCTCATTCTGGTCTCCCACTGGAACACGGAGTGAGCACTTGCCCTAGTTCCCGGATCCTTTCACTTCACATGCCTCGTCACCTTCCCTTGTGGAAGGGAAGAGCCACAGACAAGGAGGGGAACCCACTTGTAAGAGTGGGGTGAAACCAAGAGATTGTGTGGCCCGACTGGAGGACTGCCCGCCCCCAGGCCTGGCCCCACCCCCAACCATTCCAGGTTCCCTTCCTCAGGTTTTTATTTCCTAGAAAACCCCCACAATGTCTCTGAACTGACATAAGCACCCACAATAGGAGTTTGTGATGAGGGGGTGGGAGAACATTTCTCTGCCTGGCTTCAGAGGCGGAGGCGGTCTGTCATCTGAAAAGAGTCTCAGACCAAATTTGTTTCTTCTTCCTCCACAGACACTAGCACCCCCGAGGCTCGGGTGTGCTCTCCTGAGCGGGACTTGCCGGACCAAATGACGACTGATGAATCCGAGACTGACCATGGTAGGGGCCCTGTGTCTTGTGTCCTATGCCCCTGGGTGACCACTGGGTTGACAGAGCTCATTTTCTGAGAACCGGCTTCATGTTCCCTATGGGACTGGGACTGGGAAGCTGTCGCAAAGTGATTCCTTGTCCCAAAACATGTGCCTGTGCTCTTGAGCTGTGGTGGAATCCTCAGCTATCTGCCCAGAAAGGATGTACTTCCTGGGTAGAGAAGTGTCAGGGTGCGAGTCATGTTCACCGAGACCGCCGCATGTCCTCCAGGATTCTCTCATTGGCTGCACACTGCCTGGGCCTTTCTGCAAGTTCTCAGAGTCTTCTCGTTGTGTCTCCTTACTCGTTGGTGAGGGGGTTATGGATCCTGGTACCCATGTCTGCTACTGCCATGAATCCGTCTGGTGCAAAACCTGCCAAGCTAGCACGCGTTGATTCTTCAACAGACGGTGCACATGCAGAGCCCTGATTGGCCTCAGCATCGAGTGTCCTAGCTGCACCTCGTGGCCCAGTGTGCGGAGGTTCGGGGATGCCTGGCCTGAGCCCAGCCTGGGCCCAGACGTGAATTTTGAACTGTGCACGCTGGGCTCCCGAGAAATGCAGTGGCATGCTGCCCCAGGAGTCCTCCTTCTTTCCCCTGTGTTCCCCTTCTGCTTACACCCAGAGCCAACATGCACCCAAGCTTACATGAAGATCCCTTTGCCTTGGACCCTTTAGACTCTGTCTGGGCAGCATGGGACTCCTTGATGGGCAATGGCCAGGGTGGGCCCTGGACTAACACAGCCACTTTGGCTGCCCGTGACAGTATCCGTGGCTGCCCAAGGGACACCCATTGCACCATCTCTACCCCACCATGTCCCTTGCCTTCATCTTTCTGTTGGCCTCGGCTTTCTGGAAGGGTCACGGCAATTCAGTGGACACTAAGCTTACCCACGGATGGAAAGGAAACATCTAAGAAAGGATGGAAAACAGGGGATCGTTTTGTTCCCGCTCAGTTATGTCCATGCGCCATTTTCTCTGAGTAGGAGTTGACTCGTTCTGCAGGATGAGACCTCAAAGTCAGCACAATCCAGCGTATGCGTGCGTGCGGTCCTTGGGCTTCAGAACGTTGCTCCTCCTCCTCTGGGACGTGGTGTTGGGGTGCTGTGGGGACATCCTTTGAGACAGGCTGTGTTTTCTCTTCACAGACCTCCCGGTGCTGCCTCGGGAGGCTGACCTTGACGAAGGTATGTTGACTGACCGACTCCAACTCCAATGGGGCCCGTTGCTGCCAGGCCTGAGCTGGCTGTAGGCCCAGCTCCATGCAAGCCTCTGCACCCTGGCACTTGGTGTGTTCTCCTAACACATGTGCAGACACGCGCCTTTGAAGGCGTCCACAAATATCGGAGCCACCTGGAGCGCTGCTTGTTCAAGTGCCTCTGCCTTTGGGGTTCCTAACCTTGCTTGAAGGCTGCGTGTTTTGTCCCGGATGGGGAGAGTTTCTCGGTGCCACAGTGTCCACTGCGACAGCCATTTTCTTGCGGGGTTCAACCATGATCTGACGGCAGCACGCTCCATGGGCACTTTCCCAGAAGCCAAGGTTTCCAGCCTGACTCTGTTTTCCGCCGGGTGCTGTGGTCACTCCAATGCTTGGCTCAGGAGTGCCAACTCGCAGCGCCTCTGAGGGAACTTAGGAAGGAAAACCTTTGGCCCCGGCAGGATCTTCTCTTTGCCTGCTGTTCTCCTGAAACTTCACTTTCCTTGTTTGGCTTTGGCTGGTTCCGAACCTCCGGGAAAGCGTGCCTGAAGCATGGCTGTTGCCCGAGGTCAAGTCATCGATTTGACCTCTGATGCTGGCACGAGTGTGTTCTCCAAACCTGCCCTAAGGCACCTTGAGATTTGTCTGCCGTGGAGTCTGTGCACTCTACATGAGAATCTGACCCAGTGTCCTGGAGTGGGGCAGGCCACGATCCTGCGCTGGGGGAGAAGAGCAGACCCAAGCTGGTGCATGGCCACGCTTGCCTTCTGTCCGCTGTGCGCTGTCCTCTGTCCTCTGAGGGAGCGCACGTGAGAGATGTCGTGGCGGCTTTGTATTTTCTCCCAACTCCCCCACGTGCCGGGAGCTGTCCACCGGGGACTGACTCGACCAAGCATGTGCAGGACATGAGCTAGCTCATGTGAATTGAGGCTCTCAGTTGCTGTGCTGCTGGACAGGGAATTCCTAGAGCTGTACCCACCTGACCCCTCACGGACATTAGGCTCATTCTGGTCTCCCACTGGAACACGGAGTGAGCACTTGCCCTAGTTCCCGGATCCTTTCACTTCACATGCCTCGTCACCTTCCCTTGTGGAAGGGAAGAGCCACAGACAAGGAGGGGAACCCACTTGTAAGAGTGGGGTGAAACCAAGAGATTGTGTGGCCCGACTGGAGGACTGCCCGCCCCCAGGCCTGGCCCCACCCCCAACCATTCCAGGTTCCCTTCCTCAGGTTTTTATTTCCTAGAAAACCCCCACAATGTCTCTGAACTGACATAAGCACCCACAATAGGAGTTTGTGATGAGGGGGTGGGAGAACATTTCTCGTCCTGGCTTCAGAGGCGGAGGCGGTCTGTCATCTGAAAAGAGTCTCAGACCAAATTTGTTTCTTCTTCCTCCACAGACACTAGCACCCCCGAGGCTCGGGTGTGCTCTCCTGAGCGGGACTTGCCGGACCAAATGACGACTGATGAATCCGAGACTGACCATGGTAGGGGCCCTGTGTCTTGTGTCCTATGCCCCTGGGTGACCACTGGGTTGACAGAGCTCATTTTCTGAGAACCGGCTTCATGTTCCCTATGGGACTGGGAAGCTGTCGCAAAGTGATTCCTTGTCCCAAAACATGTGCCTGTGCTCTTGAGCTGTGGTGGAATCCTCAGCTATCTGCCCAGAAAGGATGTACTTCCTGGGTAGAGAAGTGTCAGGGTGCGAGTCATGTTCACCGAGACCGCCGCATGTCCTCCAGGATTCTCTCATTGGCTGCACACTGCCTGGGCCTTTCTGCAAGTTCTCAGAGTCTTCTCGTTGTGTCTCCTTACTCGTTGGTGAGGGGTTATGGATCCTGGTACCCATGTCTGCTACTGCCATGAAGCCGTCTGGTGCAAAACCTGCCAAGCTAGCACGCGTTGATTCTTCAACAGACGGTGCACATGCAGAGCCCTGATTGGCCTCAGCATCGAGTGTCCTAGCTGCACCTCGTGGCCCAGTGTGCGGAGGTTCGGGGATGCCTGGCCTGAGCCCAGCCTGGGCCCAGATGTGAATTTTGAACTGTGCACACTGGGCTCCCGGGAAATGCAGTGGCATGCTGCCCCAGGAGTCCTCCTTCTTTCCCCTGTGTTCCCCTTCTGCTTACACCCAGAGCCAACATGCACCCAAGCTTACATGAAGATCCCTTTGCCTTGGACCCTTTAGACTCTGTCTGGGCAGCATGGGACTCCTTGATGGGCAATGGCCAGGGTGGGCCCTGGACTAACACAGCCACTTTGGCTGCCCGTGACAGTATCCGTGGCTGCCCAAGGGACACCCATTGCACCATCTCTACCCCACCATGTCCCTTGCCTTCATCTTTCTGTTGGCCTCGGCTTTCTGGAAGGGTCACGGCAATTCAGTGGACACTAAGCTTACCCACGGATGGAAAGGAAACATCTAAGAAAGGATGGAAAACAGGGGATCCTTTTGTTCCCACTCAGTTATGTCCATGCGCCATTTTCTCTGAGTAGGAGTTGACTCGTTCTGCAGGATGAGACCTCAAAGTCAGCACAATCCAGCGTATGCGTGCGTGCGGTCCTTGGGCTTCAGAACGTTGCTCCTCCTCCTCTGGGACGTGGTGTTGGGGTGCTGTGGGGACATCCTTTGAGACAGGCTGTGTTTTCTCTTCACAGACCTCCCGGTGCTCCCTCGGGAGGCTGACCTTGACGAAGGTATGTTGACTGACCGACTCCAACTCCAATGGGGCCCGTTGCTGCCAGGCCTGAGCTGGCTGTAGGCCCAGCTCCATGCAAGCCTCTGCACCCTGGCACTTGGTGTGTTCTCCTAACACATGTGCAGACACGCGCCTTTGAAGGCGTCCACAAATATCGGAGCCACCTGGAGCGCTGCTTGTTCAAGTGCCTCTGCCTTTGGGGTTCCTAACCTTGCTTGAAGGCTGCGTGTTTTGTCCCGGATGGGGAGAGTTTCTCGGTGCCACAGTGTCCACTGCGACAGCCATTTTCTTGCGGGGTTCAACCATGATCTGACGGCAGCACGCTCCATGGCACTTTCCCAGAAGCCAAGGTTTCCAGCCTGACTCTGTTTTCCGCCGGGTGCTGTGGTCACTCCAATGCTTGGCTCAGGAGTGCCAACTCGCAGCGCCTCTGAGGGAACTTAGGAAGGAAAACCTTTGGCCCCGGCAGGATCTTCTCTTTGCCTGCTGTTCTCCTGAAACTTCACTTTCCTTGTTTGGCTTTGGCTGGTTCCGAACCTCCGGGAAAGCGTGCCTGAAGCATGGCTGTTGCCCGAGGTCAAGTCATCGATTTGACCTCTGATGCTGGCACGAGTGTGTTCTCCAAACCTGCCCTAAGGCACCTTGAGATTTGTCTGCCGTGGAGTCTGTGCACTCTACATGAGAATCTGACCTAGTGTCCTGGAGTGGGGCAGGCCACGATCCTGCGCTGGGGGAGAAGAGCAGACCCAAGCTGGTGCATGGCCACGCTTGCCTTCTGTCCGCTGTCCGCTGTCCTCTGTCCTCTGAGGGAGCGCACATGAGAGATGTCGTGGCGGCTTTGGATTTTCTCCCAACTCCCCCACGTGCCGGGAGCTGTCCACCGGGGACTGACTCGACCTCGACCAAGCATGTGCAGGACATGAGCTAGCTCATGTGAATTGAGGCTCTCAGTTGGACAGGGAATTCCTAGAGCTGTACCCACCTGACCCCTCACGGACATTAGGCTCATTCTGGTCTCCCACTGGAACACGGAGTGAGCACTTGCCCTAGTTCCCGGATCCTTTCACTTCACATGCCTCGTCACCTTCCCTTGTGGAAGGGAAGAGCCACAGACAAGGAGGGGAACCCACTTGTAAGAGTGGGGTGAAACCAAGAGATTGTGTGGCCCGACTGGAGGACTGCCCGCCCCCAGGCCTGGCCTCACCCCCAACCATTCCAGGTTCCCTTCCTCAGGTTTTTATTTCCTAGAAAACCCCCACAATGTCTCTGAACTGACATAAGCACCCACAATAGGAGTTTGTGATGAGGCGGTGGGAGAACATTTCTCGTCCTGGCTTCAGAGGCGGAGGCGGTCTGTCATCTGAAAAGAGTCTCAGACCAAATTTGTTTCTTCTTCCTCCACAGACACTAGCACCCGAGAGTCTCGGGTGTGCTCTCCTGAGCGGGACTTGCCGGACCAAATGACGACTGATGAATCCGAGACTGACCATGGTAGGGGCCCTGTGTCTTGTGTCCTATGCCCCTGGGTGACCACTGGGTTGACAGAGCTCATTTTCTGAGAACCGGCTTCATGTTCCCTATGGGACTGGGAAGCTGTCGCAAAGTGATTCCTTGTCCCAAAAAATGTGCCTGTGCTCTTGAGCTGTGGTGGAATCCTCAGCTATCTGCCCAGAAAGGATGTACTTCCTGGGTAGAGAAGTGTCAGGGTGCGAGTCATGTTCACCGAGACCGCCGCATGTCCTCCAGGATTCTCTCATTGGCTGCACACTGCCTGGGCCTTTCTGCAAGTTCTCAGAGTCTTCTCGTTGTGTCTCCTTACTCGTTGGTGAGGGGGTTATGGATCCTGGTACCCATGTCTGCTACTGCCATGAATCCGTCTGGTGCAAAACCTGCCAAGCTAGCACGCGTTGATTCTTCAACAGACGGTGCACATGCAGAGCCCTGATTGGCCTCAGCATCGAGTGTCCTAGCTGCACCTCGTGGCCCAGTGTGCAGAGGTTCGGGGATGCCTGGCCTGAGCCCAGCCTGGGCCCAGACGTGAATTTTGAACTGTGCACGCTGGGCTCCCGGGAAATGCAGTGGCATGCTGCCCCAGGAGTCCTCCTTCTTTCCCCTGTGTTCCCCTTCTGCTTACACCCAGAGCCAACATGCACCCAAGCTTACATGAAGATCCCTTTGCCTTGGACCCTTTAGACTCTGTCTGGGCAGCATGGGACTCCTTGATGGGCAATGGCCAGGGTGGGCCCTGGACTAACACAGCCACTTTGGCTGCCCGTGACAGTATCCGTGGCTGCCCAAGGGACACCCATTGCACCATCTCTACCCCACCATGTCCCTTGCCTTCATCTTTCTGTTGGCCTCGGCTTTCTGGAAGGGTCACGGCAATTCAGTGTACACTAAGCATACCCATGGATGGAAAGGAAACACTGAAGAGAGGATTAAACCCAGGGAATGGCTTTGTTCCTGGTCAGTGACATCAATATGCCATTTTCTCTTAGTAGGTGTTGACTTGTACTGCAGGATGATTCTGAGAAGTCAGGAAAATGCAGCATGTGAGTGCCTGTGTGGTCCTTGGGCTTCAGGACATTGCTTTGGCTTCTTTGTGATGTGGCATTGGGGTGTTGTGGGAACATCCTTAGAGATAGGTTGTGTTTTCTCTTCATGGCCCTACTGACTCTTCCATGGGATTGCAATCTCAAGGAAGTTATGCTGACTGACTGACCCAAATGGGGCCCATTGCTGCTAAGCCTGAGCTGGCCATGGGCCCAGCTCCATTCTCGCCTCTGCACTCTGGCACTTGATGTGTTCTCATATCACCCTTGCAGAACCGTGTCTTGGTTGGTCTTCTTCACCAGTATTTGAGCCACCTGGAGCACTGCTTTTTCAAGGGCTTCTACCTTTGGGTTCCTGAACCTGGCTCAAGACTTTGTTTTTTGTCCTGGCTGGGTAGAGTTTCTCAGTGCCATGGTTTCCACTGTGACAGCCATTTTCTTGACAGGGCTCCTTCATGATCAGATGGCAGTGCACTCAAAAGGCCCTTTCCCGGGAGCCAAGGTTTCTGGTTTCACTCTCCTTTCCAGTGGATAGTGTGGTCATTCCAATGCTTTGTCCACAAGGGCTGACCCCAAACTTGCAGCGCCTCTGAAGGGAACTTGGACAGAAGCATGGTTGGCTCTGCCAGGATCTTCCCTTTGCATGTTGTTCTCCTGAGACATACTTTCCTTTCTTTGGCTTCGGCTGGTCTCAGAACTCCTGGGAAAGTATCCATGAAGCAAGGCTGTTCCCTGAAGTCAAGTCATCGATTTGACCTCTGATGCTGGCATGAGTATGTTCTCGAACTGTGACCTAAGATACCTGGAGATTTGTCTGCCAGTATTCTGTCAAACCAACGTGAGAATCTGACCCAATATTTTGAGTGGGTCAGGCCCCAGTCCTCCACTTGTGGACAAGACCAGACCTGAGCTGGTGTGTGTTGCTGTCTATCCTCTGTCATCTGAGTGAGCAAACATGAGAGATGGGTGGTTCCTTTTGATTTTCTCCCACCTTCCCCACATGCCAGGAGCATCCACCAGACACTGACTTGACTAAGCATGTGCTAACATGGTTCTCAGTTGCTTTCCTGGAGGGGCTAGAGAATTCCTAGAGGTGTACCCAGGTGGCCCATCACCTGAAGCAGTAGGCTCGGTGAAGTTAGGTTCTTTCTGGGCTCCCACTGAGACACGGAGATGTCAGATGCCTAGTTCCTAGATCCTTTCACTTCTCCTGCCTCGTCACCTTCCCTTGAGGAAGGGAAGAGCTGATCTCAAACAGTGAGCCATAGACAAGGAAGGGAACCCACTTGTAAGAGTGGGGTAAAGGCTGGCACCATGGCTCAATAGACTAATCCTCCGCCTGCGTCACCGGCACACCAGGTTCTAGTCTTGGACAGGGTGCCAAATTCTGTCCTGGTTGCTCCTCTTCCTGTCCAGCTCTCTGCTGTGGCCCGGGAGTGCAGGGGAAGATGGCCCAAGTACTTGGGCCCTGCACCTACAAGAGAGACCAGGAGAAGCACCTGGCTCATTACTTTGGATCGGCGCAGTGTGCTGGCCGCAGTGGCCATTGGGGGTGAAAAACAGGAAAGGAAGACATTTCTCTCTCTCTCTCTCTCTCCCATTGTACACTCTGCCAGTGGGGAGAAATAAAAGAGTGGGGTGAAACCAAGAAATTTGTGGCCTAACAGGAAGACTGCCAACCCCAAGTGTGGTACCACTCCCAACCATTACAGGTTTCCTTCCTGGGGATTTTATTTCGTAGAAAACCCCCACAATGTCTCTGAACTGACATAAGCACCCACAATAGGAGTTTGTAATGAGGGAGTGGGAGAAAATTTCTCTGCTTGGTTTCAGAGGCAGAGGCAGTCTGTCATCACAAAAGAGACTCAGACCAAATGTGTTTCTTCTTCTTCCATAGGCACTAGCACCCAAGAGTCTCAGGTGTGCTCTCCTATGCTGGATGTGCCAGACCAACCGGCGACTGATGAATCCGAGACTGACCATGGTAGGGGCCCTGTGTCTTGTGTCCTATGCCCCTGGGTGACCACTGGGTTGACAGAGCTCATTTTCTGAGACCTGGCTTCATGTTCCCTGTGGGACTGGGAAGCTGTTGCAAAGTGATTCCTTGTCCCCACAAAAGTGCCTGTGCCCTTGAGCTGTGGTGGAATCCTCAGCTATCTGCCCAGAAAGGATGTACTTCCTGGGTACAGAAGTGTCAGAGTACGAGTCAGGTTCGCCGAGACGCCGCATGTCCTCCAGGATTCTCTCATTGGCTGCACACTGCCTGGGCCTTTCTGCAAGTTCTCAGAGTCTTCTTGTTGTTGTCTCCTTACTTGGTGAGGGAATTATGGATCCTGGTACCCATGCCTGCTACTGCCATGAATCCGTCTGGTGCAAAACCTGCCAAGCTAGCATGCATTGCTTCTTCAACAGATGGTGCACATGCAGAGCCCTGATTGGCCTCAGCGTCGAGTGTCCTAGCTGCACCTCATGGCCCAGTGTGCGGGGGCTCAGGGATGCCTGGCCTGAGCCCAGCCTGGGCCCAGACATGAATTTTGAACTGTGCGCCCTGAGCTCCCGAGAAATGCAGTGGCATGCTGCCCCAGGAGTCCTCCTTCTTTCCCCTGTGTTCCCCTTCTGCTTACACCCAGAGCCAACATGCACCCAAGCTTACATGAAGATCCCTTTGCCTTGGACCCTTTAGACTCTGTCTGGGCAGCATGGGACTCCTTGATGGGCAATGGCCAGGGTGGGCCCTGGACTAACACAGCCACTTTGGCTGCCCGTGACAGTATCCGTGGCTGCCCAAGGGACACCCATTGCACCACCTCTACCCCGCCATGTCCCTTGCCTGCATCTTTTTGTTGGCCTCGGCTTTCTGGAAGGGTCACGGCAATTCAGAGGACACCAAGCATACCCACGGATGGAAAGGAAACATCTAAGAAAGGAGGACACACAGGGGATCGCTGTGTTACCCCTCAGTGATCTTTGTGCCATTTTTCTTAGGAACTGTTGACTCGTGCTACCCGATGAGCATCCAACCTTCTTGAGCAATGTGCACTTTCTATTTTCCCAAGATATTTTATTTTCTTGCCTTACACTTTTAACATTGGGTAGAGTCACTGCAATGATTTCCAAACCATGCTCTAATGACACCTATGAAAGGAAAGTAGAAATCTATTTGCTTGTCTCCAGAGCATCCCATCTTTGCAGCTTGTTCTCCCTATACCTAATATCCCTTCTTTTACTTCAGATGGTCCCAGAACCCTCCATAAAGTGTCCAGGATGTCTTCCTGTCACTGGCCTATCATGTCATCAGTTTGGCTTCTGATGCTGGCAGGAGTGTGTTCTACAAGCCTAGCCTAAGATACTTTGGTTTTTGCTTGCAATGGAGTCAGTGAATCCAAGATGAGTCTCTGACCCAGTGTTGGAGTGTGACTTGACCCATTCCTCCACTGGGGGAGAAGGCCATGGCTGAGCTGGACTGTGCCCATGCTTTCCATCTGTTCCCATTCTACTGAGTTACTGTAGGCAAGAGATGGAATGGTTGCTTTGGATTTTCTCCCATCTTCCCTACACACCTGGAGAAGTCCATGTGGGGCTGACTTGACTAAATATTTGTAGCACTTTTCTAAGCTGAATGGAGGTCTTCATTTGCTGTCTGGGAGGGACCAGGTTCCCATGCAGAGAAGTATCCACATGGTGTAAAAGCATAGATAATGGGTTGGCCATCGTATTGTTCTTTCTTGGCTCCCATTGGCATAATGAGTGGGCACTTGCCGAGTTATCAGATCTGCTGCACTTCAAATGCCTTATTGCCTTATCTTCTCAGAGGACATTGGTAGATGTTAACATGTAAGCCATAGACAAGGCTGGAAACCCATTCCAAGGAATGGGTTTAAACAAAGAATATGTGTAGCTCCAAACATGAGGACACCCTGCTACCCCAACACCACCCATTTCTCATTCTTGGTAGTTTCATAGACATATTCTTGTGATGTTTCAGAATGCCATGAGGAGTCTATGATGTGTGGGTGGGAGGACATTTCTCTTCATGCTTTCAGATATGGACTTGGGTCTGTTGTCTGCACTTAGATGAATCTTGTTTTTTCTCCCACAGCAACCATCAAATTCTCATTGGAGCCCAAGCCATTTAAACGTAGGATCACCATATTAAACCTCACCCTGAACAACGAGAACAAGCCTGAGCATGGTAGGGGTCCATTTTTCTTGAGTCCTGGGCCGTGTGAGTGACCTCAGTGTTGACATAGTTCAAAATCTGAGAACTGGCTTTTAAGTTCCCTACCATTCTACGATGCGGTTATCGCTAAGGGCTACCTTATTGAGAAAGTGTGCCTGCACTCTGTGTGTTTTTGAATCCTTGTCTTTCTACACAGGAAGGATGGTTTTCCCAGGTAGAGAACTGCTTGAGTGTCACGTCCACCGAGACCACCATTCGGCCTCACGTATTATTTTATTGGCTGAAAGCTTGCACACTGAATGGGTGCTTTGCAAGTTACCAGGGCCCTTCAGTTTTTCTCTCCTTACACTTTTGTTAAAAAGTTCTTTCTGCTATCTCTGTCTCATACCAGAGTAATCTGTCTTCTGGAAATCCTCTAAGCCAGCACACCTTGTTTCTTCAATAGATGAAACAACAGCAGAAGCTAGCTCGGACACAGGGTCAGGTGTTCTAGCTGAAACTAATGATCCATTGTGCTAAGCTGTGGTGATGCCATGCCTGAATCCAGCATTGGTCCATGCATGGCTTCTGACCCATGTCCTCTGTTCCCAAGAACTCAATGGCATTCTCATCTATGAGTTTCCCTTCTATTCCTTGCATTTTCTTTCATCTTACACTCAGAGCTAACTTGCCCCAGTGACTGAGGTTCCCAGCTTGGCTTGGACTCTTTAGATTCTGTGTGGGAAGGATAGGAATCTGTGGTGAGAAATTGCTAGGGAGGCCCCTAAACTAGTAAACACATTTGGCTTCCCATAACTGTATCCATGCTGCCAGAGGGACAGCAGTTACACAATTTCTATGTTACTAGACCCTTTCATTGTATGTCTCTCTGAGCTTTGGCTTTTGGGAATGGTCATTGATATCAGCAGAAACAAGGACTAACGCTGAACAGAAAAAAAATAGCTAAGAAAGGTTGGGACACTGGGAATGGTTTTGTTCCAGCTTGTTGAAATCCAGGCACCATTTTCCCTTAGTGCTTTTTTGCATTTACTGGGGGATGAGTCAGTATGTCATGAAAATCAGTTGCATGGGTGGACTTCGGGTTTCAGAAACATTTCATCACTGGCCATCTGGTGTGGATTTGGGTGTGTTGTTGGAAAATCTACTAGGACACATTGTAGTTTTCTTAAAAGAAAAACTGATGCTTCCATGGGTGTCCAACCATGAGGAAAGTATGCTGACTGACCCAACTCAAATTGTGTCCACAGCTGCCAGAACTGAGTTGGCTGTGGGCACACCTTTGTTCTAACCTCTACACTCTGGGCACTTGATGTGTTCATGTTGCAGAATCACAAGTTGCTTTGATGTTCTCTACCCATCCTGTACCTCCCTGGGAGAGCTACTTCTTTAAGAATGTTTGCCTCTTGTTCCCTAAAGTTGCTTGAAGCCCTTGTTTTGGCCTTGGAAGGATAGAGTTTCCTAGTATAACAATGCCCCAGGACACATACACTGAGAGAGCCATTTTGCTTTCTGTGGCTCCAGGATGATTTCATAGTTGCATGCTAAATGGACACTTTCTGAGATGCCAAGATTTTCACTTTCTCTCTTATTCCCCTTTTGCCACTGGGTGTGGTCACTCTGAAGATTTGTACACCAACACAAACAACATCTCTGAAAGGAACATAGAATGTAATTTGCTTGGCTTCAGAAGGATTCTATCTTTTCATCTTGTCCTCCTGATAATTAGTTCCCTTTTTTGGGGGAGGAGGAGGTGGTCTCAGAACCTTCCAGAAAGTGTCCATGATGCATGGCTGCTATTGGAATCAAGCCATCAATTTGCCCTCTAATGGTGACATGAAAATGTTCTCTAATACACATTTGGATTTGTCTTCAATTGAGCTAATCCAACCAACATGAGAATCTTACGCAGTGTCCTGGGCAGTGTTTGGTTCCAAACCTCCTCTGAGAGAAAAGGGTAGACCTAAGCTCGTCTGTGTCCATGATTGCCACATATCCTCTCTCTGAAGAGTTACTTCAGACAGAGATTGCATGGTTGCTTCAGATTATCTTGCATTGTCCCTACATGCTGAGAGCCATACACTAGGGTCTGACTTGACTAACAATGTGCGGGACTTGACTAATGTTAATTTAGGTCTCAGTTGCTGTCCAGGAGGGACCAGCTAACTTCCTAGATGTGTGCCCCTGTTGCCCTTCACCCAAGACAATGGACAGGGTGATGTAAGCTACTTTCTTGGCCCCCACAGGAACACTGAGTAGGCACTTGTCTGTTTGCAGGATCCTTTCACTTCACGTTTTGTCCCCTTACTGTGTGGAAGGGAACAGTTGATCTTAACATGCAAGCAATAGATAAGGATGGAAACCCATTTCTAAGAGTGGGTTGCCAGGGGATTCCAATTGAATCCCATCAAGGTGGCATGTACCAATGCCATCTCACTAGTCCCAGTGATCCATTTCTGTTCACAATTAATCATAATGATAGGACTAAGAGCCAAAGGGATTACATAAACAAGACTAGTGTCTGCAAATACTAACTGATAGAATAAAAAAGGGAGAGAACGATCCAACATGGGAAACAGGATACACAGCAGACTCATAGAATGGCAGATGTCCTAAACAGCACTCTGGCCTCAGAATCAGCCCTAAAGGCATTCCGATCTGGCTGAAAAGCCCATGAGAGTATTTCAAGCATGGAAAGCCAAGACACTCTGGCAAAAAAAAAAAAAACAAACAAAAAACAAAACAAAAAAAAAAAACAAAACACCACCACCTAAATGAAAGATCTCTGTGAGTGAGATCCCAGTGGAAAGAACAGGTCTTCAAAGAAGGAGGTACCTTTCTCTGAAGGGAGGAGAGAACTTCCATTCTGACTATGACCTTGTCTAAATGTGATCAGAGTTGGTGAACTCAAAAGGCTTCCATAGCCTTGGCAACTCATGACTAGAGCCTAGGGTGATTACTGATGCCATAAACAAGAGTGTCAATTTGTTAAGTCAACAACAGGAGTCACCGTGCACTTACTCCTCATGTAGGATCTTTGTCCTTAATGTGCTGTACATTGAGATTTAATGCTATAACTAGTACTCAAACAGTAAATTTCACTTTGTGTTTCTGTGTGGGTGCAAACTGTTGAAATTTTTACTTAATATGTACTAAATTGGTCTTCTATATATAAAGAGAATTGAAAATGAATCTTGATGTGAATGGAAGGGGAGAGAGAGTGGGAAAGGGGAGGGTTGTGGGTGGGAGGGAAGTCATTGGGTGGGGGGAAGCCATTGTAATCCATAAGCTGTACTTTGGAAATTTATATTCATTAAAGAAAAGTTTTAAAAAAAGGGGGAAAAAGACAAAAAAATAAGATTGAGTTGCAACCATGCTTTTCTGTGATCAAACACATGAGGACACCCCACCTCCCAACACTGACCCTGCACCAGACAAAACCAGTTTCCATACCTTGGGATTTTTTGCATGGACTAAATGCCACAGTGTCTGAGAAATGACAAAGCAGCCACATTATGACTTAGGGATGTGTGAATACAACATTCCTCCACACGGTTTCAGATATGAAGGCAGGTTTGTTGTCTGAAAATAAAATCAAAGTTTATTTTTCTTCCACAGAAAATATGCTGTTACCAATGGATCCTCTGCCTGAGATAAATATCATGACTAACCTGAACTGTACCATGGCCAATGATAACAAGCCTGATCCTGGTAGGGACCTATTTGTCTTGTATCCTCTGCCCATGGCTAACCACAGGGTAGCCATAGCTCATTTTCTTAGAACTAGCTTTCTTATTCTCCAATGTTCTACAATGTTATTTCACTAAGTGTTTCCTTATTTGAAATATGTGCCTTCGCTCTCAACCTGCTTTTGAATCTTTTTACTTGTGCCCAGAAAGGATGTGATCCTGGGCAAAGAAGTGCCAGTGTGATTTGTCCACCCAAAATGCTCAAGGGGCACTTTCGGTGATCCCAAGATTTTTTACTTTCTTGCCTTACACTTTTAACATTGGGTAGAGTCACTGCAATGATTTCCAAACCATGCTCTAATGACACCTATGAAAGGAAAGTAGAAATCTATTTGCTTGTCTCCAGAGCATCCCATCTTTGCAGCTTGTTCTCCCTATACCTAATATCCCTTCTTTTACTTCAGATGGTCCCAGAACCCTCCATAAAGTGTCCAGGATGTCTTCCTGTCACTGGCCTATCATGTCATCAGTTTGGCTTCTGATGCTGGCAGGAGTGTGTTCTACAAGCCTAGCCTAAGATACTTTGGTTTTTGCTTGCAATGGAGTCAGTGAATCCAAGATGAGTCTCTGACCCAGTGTTGGAGTGTGACTTGACCCATTCCTCCACTGGGGGAGAAGGCCATGGCTGAGCTGGACTGTGCCCATGCTTTCCATCTGTTCCCATTCTACTGAGTTACTGTAGGCAAGAGATGGAATGGTTGCTTTGGATTTTCTCCCATCTTCCCTACACACCTGGAGAAGTCCATGTGGGGCTGACTTGACTAAATATTTGTAGCACTTTTCTAAGCTGAATGGAGGTCTTCATTTGCTGTCTGGGAGGGACCAGGTTCCCATGCAGAGAAGTATCCACATGGTGTAAAAGCATAGATAATGGGTTGGCCATCGTATTGTTCTTTCTTGGCTCCCATTGGCATAATGAGTGGGCACTTGCCGAGTTATCAGATCTGCTGCACTTCAAATGCCTTATTGCCTTATCTTCTCAGAGGACATTGGTAGATGTTAACATGTAAGCCATAGACAAGGCTGGAAACCCATTCCAAGGAATGGGTTTAAACAAAGAATATGTGTAGCTCCAAACATGAGGACACCCTGCTACCCCAACACCACCCATTTCTCATTCTTGGTAGTTTCATAGACATATTCTTGTGATGTTTCAGAATGCCATGAGGAGTCTATGATGTGTGGGTGGGAGGACATTTCTCTTCATGCTTTCAGATATGGACTTGGGTCTGTTGTCTGCACTTAGATGAATCTTGTTTTTTCTCCCACAGCAACCATCAAATTCTCATTGGAGCCTGAGCCATTTAAACGTAGGATCACCATATTAAACCTCACCCTGAACAACGAGAACAAGCCTGAGCATGGTAGGGGTCCATTTTTCTTGAGTCCTGGGCCGTGTGAGTGACCTCAGTGTTGACATAGTTCAAAATCTGAGAACTGGCTTTTAAGTTCCCTACCATTCTACGATGCGGTTATCGCTAAGGGCTACCTTATTGAGAAAGTGTGCCTGCACTCTGTGTGTTTTTGAATCCTTGTCTTTCTACACAGGAAGGATGGTTTTCCCAGGTAGAGAACTGCTTGAGTGTCACGTCCACCGAGACCACCATTCGGCCTCACGTATTATTTTATTGGCTGAAAGCTTGCACACTGAATGGGTGCTTTGCAAGTTACCAGGGCCCTTCAGTTTTTCTCTCCTTACACTTTTGTTAAAAAGTTCTTTCTGCTATCTCTGTCTCATACCAGAGTAATCTGTCTTCTGGAAATCCTCTAAGCCAGCACACCTTGTTTCTTCAATAGATGAAACAACAGCAGAAGCTAGCTCGGACACAGGGTCAGGTGTTCTAGCTGAAACTAATGATCCATTGTGCTAAGCTGTGGTGATGCCATGCCTGAATCCAGCATTGGTCCATGCATGGCTTCTGACCCATGTCCTCTGTTCCCAAGAACTCAATGGCATTCTCATCTATGAGTTTCCCTTCTATTCCTTGCATTTTCTTTCATCTTACACTCAGAGCTAACTTGCCCCAGTGACTGAGGTTCCCAGCTTGGCTTGGACTCTTTAGATTCTGTGTGGGAAGGATAGGAATCTGTGGTGAGAAATTGCTAGGGAGGCCCCTAAACTAGTAAACACATTTGGCTTCCCATAACTGTATCCATGCTGCCAGAGGGACAGCAGTTACACAATTTCTATGTTACTAGACCCTTTCATTGTATGTCTCTCTGAGCTTTGGCTTTTGGGAATGGTCATTGATATCAGCAGAAACAAGGACTAACGCTGAACAGAAAAAAAATAGCTAAGAAAGGTTGGGACACTGGGAATGGTTTTGTTCCAGCTTGTTGAAATCCAGGCACCATTTTCCCTTAGTGCTTTTTTGCATTTACTGGGGGATGAGTCAGTATGTCATGAAAATCAGTTGCATGGGTGGACTTCGGGTTTCAGAAACATTTCATCACTGGCCATCTGGTGTGGATTTGGGTGTGTTGTTGGAAAATCTACTAGGACACATTGTAGTTTTCTTAAAAGAAAAACTGATGCTTCCATGGGTGTCCAACCATGAGGAAAGTATGCTGACTGACCCAACTCAAATTGTGTCCACAGCTGCCAGAACTGAGTTGGCTGTGGGCACACCTTTGTTCTAACCTCTACACTCTGGGCACTTGATGTGTTCATGTTGCAGAATCACAAGTTGCTTTGATGTTCTCTACCCATCCTGTACCTCCCTGGGAGAGCTACTTCTTTAAGAATGTTTGCCTCTTGTTCCCTAAAGTTGCTTGAAGCCCTTGTTTTGGCCTTGGAAGGATAGAGTTTCCTAGTATAACAATGCCCCAGGACACATACACTGAGAGAGCCATTTTGCTTTCTGTGGCTCCAGGATGATTTCATAGTTGCATGCTAAATGGACACTTTCTGAGATACCAAGATTTTCACTCTCTCATTCCCCTTTTGCCACTGGGTGTGGTCACTTTGAAGATTTGTACACCAACACAAACAACATCTCTGAAAGGAACATAGAATGTAATTTGCTTGGCTTCAGAAGGATTCTATCTTTTCATCTTGTCCTCCTGATAATTAGTTCCCTTTTTTGGGGGAGGAGGAGGTGGTCTCAGAACCTTCCAGAAAGTGTCCATGATGCATGGCCCCTGGACTACCACAGCCACTTTGGCTGCCTGGGACTGTATCCATGGGTGCCAGCGGGATAACCATTGCACAAACTCTACCTCCCCATGTCCCTTCATATCAGCTGTTTGCCTTTTCCTTTTTGAAGGTTCATGGCACAGCAGTGGACATCAGAGATATTCATGGATAGACAGGAACTGTCTAGGGGCTGGCATTGTGGTGTAGCAGGTAAAACTGCCACTTGCAGTGCCGGCATCCCATATGGGCACGGGTTCTAGTCCTGGCAGTTCCACTTCCAATCCAGCTCTCTGATATGGCTGGGGCAAGCAGGAGAGGATGGCCCAAATGCTGGGCCCCTACTCCTGCCTGGGAGATCTGGAAGAAGCTCCTGGCTCCTGGCTTTGTATCGGCCAAGGTTCGGCTGTTCCAGTCATTTTGGGGAGTGAACCAGCAGATGGAAGACCTTTCAGAGTAACTCTGACCTCCAAATAAATACATACACCTTTAAACAAAAGAGAAAAAAGAAAGGAAACATCCAAGAAAGGATGAAACACTGGGAACTGTTTGCTCCCATGCTCAGCGACATCATACACCATTTGCTCGTTTGGCTCATGTCCATTGTTGTTTCAAAAAATATTGTTTTGCTCCTTTCCACCCTGTCTTTATGGGTTTTGGTATTCTATTATTAGGTGCTTCCTTATCCCCAAAAGTTGCCTGCACCCTCAACATGTTGTGGAATTCTTTTTCTTCTCCTTAGGATGAATGTGTTTTCCTTTGCTAAAGTCCTCTTGTGGGTATCATATCCCTCTAGACTGCTGTTTTTCCTCACAAATTCTATCATTGCCTCCACAGAGGTATACACTGATTGGTCATTTTTGAATGTTTTCTGAGCCTTTCAGTTTTTCCTCCTTACCCTTTGGTTTCGAAGTTAATTTTGTTACTCTATTTGATGTTGAATGGAGTCTGTCTTCTCTTAATCACTCAAGTCAGCATGCCTTGATTCTTTAATGAATGAAATTATAGCAGAACTGTAATCAGACTTAGTGTCAAGTGTTCTCACTAAACTAAATACTCCAGTGTCTAGAGTAGCCAACTTGTTCAGGTATTTACATGTTGTTCCATTTTTGTTTTTTCCTTAGAACATTTGGAGGTACAGTAGAAAATTTGTTCAAAAATTGCCTGAGGAGCTGCCAAACTAACATACAGGCTTTGACAGTGACTTTGTCTCCCAGTGAGACACCATTTGTGCAATTTGTACATTACCAGATCTTTCCTTACATTTTTCTCTATTCTTTGGCTGTCTGGAATTGTCTTTGCCATTAGGAGTATCAATATATGTCCCAGGCCAGAAAGGAAACCTTTAAGAATTAGTGGAACACAGGAATTGATTTCGCTCCAGCTCTGTGAAATCCAGGAGCCATTTCCCATAATGCATGTTTGCATGTACTGGAGCAGGAGTCAGAATTGTCAGGAGCATCCACTCTGAGCCTGTATGGTCTTTGGGTTTCAGAAATAGTGATTTTATTCCTCTCTGATGTGGAGATGAGTGTGCTGTCTGAAAATCAACTAAGAATTACTTTGTTTCTCTTACCCAAAGACCTGATATTTACACAGGAATCTGATACTGAGAATGACTGATGTTGAGGTGACTGATCAAACTCAAACTGTGTCCAATGATGCTAGGGCCAATCTTCCTTTGGGTGCACCTTTGTTCTAACCTCTGTCCTCTTGAGCACTTGATGTGCTCACATATCATAATTCCTTATAAGTCCCTTTGGTATTCTCTGCTGATCCTTTCTCTGAACATGAGGAGTTGCTTTTTCAAGTTTTTGCTTTGTGTTTCTTATGTTGCTTGAAACCTTTGCTTTTCTGTCCTGGAAGGATAGAGTTCTAATTTATAACATTGCCCCTGGGACACTTTCACTGAGACAGCCAGTTTGCTTCCTGCGGCACTCCCAGGTGCACACTCAGTGGGCACTTCCCAAGTTACCAGACCTTTGATTTTATCATTTTCCTTTTGTATTCTGAAAGGGTAACTGCAATTGTTAAGATACAAATAATACTCAAGGATAAAGGGAAAAGCAACTAAGAATGAATTTAAACAAGAATTTTGTTTTGCTCTAAAATTATTAAACATGAACATTTTTGTTATCTATATTTTAAGATACTGATTTTAATGATGTATGTGGAAACTCATGAAAATCCACAATAGGAGCCAATTTGCTTGGATTTCAGATTTCTTTTGCTGCCATCAGATGTTGAGATGGGTCTGTTGCCTGAAATATCCTGACAACTTTTGTTTGTCCTTCTACAGGTCATCTGATGCTACCACTACTGTTGACACAATCCCAGGTAGGGTGAATGACCAAAATCTCAAAATGGCAAAGGATGCCATGCCTCAGCCTATATGGGTCCACCTATGTTTTCTGTTCTCTGCATTTCTTTTCTCTACACTTTATTGAACATGAGACTAAGGACTACTTTTTCAAAAAATTTTTAACTTTGCTTGAAATATCTTCAGTTTCTTCCCCTGGTGTGTGAAATTCCTTGGTAGAGAATTGCCCACGTGGCCCATAAACTAAGACTATCTATTCTTCATGTTTTTCTAGCACTTGTTTGCAGTAGAACAGTGAATTCACATTGTCCAAGCTATAGGTTTGTTTTATTTTTTTCTTTTCCTTCACTGAAAGTAATTTTAATGCTGAGACACAACTTGGTATTCAAAGACAAAAACTACAATATAAGAATCAAGGTACAATAGGAAGTTGTTTTGGTCCAACAAAGCATTTAATCTAGGTATCATTTGCTCATCAATTGTATTTTTTTATAAGATTATCTGTAAGCTGTCTCAGAAACTTCATGAAATCCACACCATGAGTGTATTATGCTTTGATCTAAAATTTCTTTTCCTGCTCCTGGTGTTTCTTCAGCAGAACAAGTTACCCCAGCACTGCACACCAGACCAGTTGTCCATTATAATGACTGAGCAAATTTTCCAGCAGGAGAGGATGCCAAACCTAAGTTTGGTATGGACCCACCCAGTCTACTGTTCTCTGTCTTCTGAATTACTGAAGAGCACAGTTGATGTGATTCCTTAGGATTTTTTTTCCCATGCACTTCATTTAATCACACAATAAAAACTGCTTTTTCTAGAATGCTTGCACAAGTTTTCTAATTTTGCTGGACATGTTCAGTTTCTGTCCATGAAGATTGGATGGAATTCCTGGGTGGAGAATTGCCCAAGAGGCACCTACACCAAGACAACCATTTTGCATCAAGTGATTCCATGTTTGTTTCACAGTTAAACACTGAATGGTCACTTTCCAAGTTTCCAGATCCTTTCAGTTTATCTACCCTTATTTTTTTGCTATATCATAGGCAATGCTTTGTGCACAAAGAATATTCAAAGATAAAAGTAAATCTAAAAATGAAGTGTGAGTAGGAATGTGTTGAGTTCAGAAAGTATAAAATCTATTGTTTTTTTCATAATACATATTTTCCTTAAATTTTCTGCAAGAAGTCTCGGAAACCTCATGAAAATCCTCCTTATAAATGAATAATACATGGATTTAAAATAATTTTTTGCCACTCTTTGATACCGAGTCTATTTTATGAAAATGTCCTAGGAAAACTTAGGTTTTATCTTCAGTGAAATAAATAATACCACTCCTGGAATCTGACCCGGTGTCAATATGGTGACTGACCAGAATCCTACACTGGAAGAGGATTCCAAGACTCAGCTGTGTCATCTCCTCTGTCCTCTCTGTTACTCAAGAGTTCCATTGCTATGATTCCCTAGAGCTTTCTCTTAATTTCTCCACACTAGTACCAGCAAGCACTCTTTAAACCTAGGTTATTATTGGCAACAGGCAATTTTTTAACAGGGTGGAGTTTAGGTTCATAACCCGGAGACATGGGGCATCAGTCCCTTCTCATGTGTCTCTTTTTTGGTTTAATGGCATTCACCTCATTTCTAAGGGGAAATCTTTAGGGGCAGTCCTTAAATCAGGAATTGGGATGTTTCCAGAATCTGAGAATATTATTTAATTTTTTTCTTCAACAGGGACAATGGAACCATCTCATCATATCTGGTGCTTTAGAATCACAGTAACTGACCCTGTGGAGCAAAACTGCAAATCTCACATCCAGTATGGGGCCACCCAGCTCTCCTATATTTATTATGTTGTGTCATTCAGTGTGAGCACACTCAGTAGTACATGACTAATTTTCCTACACTCTAACATTAGGCTTAGAGTGCTTGAAAAAAATTTCCAAATGTTCCTTTCTGTCCAGAAATAAAATTTATTCATAACTGACTTCATTGGAGTCATGTTAACCAACTGTGTGCAAATCATGTTATACACTTCAGATTTCACAAACTTATTAAAATGGAACATATAATGATCTGCTTCCAAAATATCAGCTCAACCTATTTCATTCTTTAATTTCTAATTTCATTGTTCAAGGGGACATCCAACAGTTACTATAAAATCAGTATTTAAAGATACAATGAAATGTATCAAAATAGAATTTAAAATATGAGCTGATTTTGGCACAAAAATTTAAATCTGCATATAGCTTCCTTCATGGCAGCATTTTAATAAACTTTTTCATCATGAAGTCACAGAAAGTTCATGAAAACTCTTTATTCTAAGATGTCATAAAAATTTGATGAAGATACATACCATAAAAGCCTTGGAATGGGTTTAAAATTGTGTCCATACCAAATCATATTTTTATTCTATCTCTTTTTTTTAAGTTTTATGTTCTCATTTTTTGTTTTGAGGAGAGTTTGTTCTTTTTTATCTCTTTATTTTTTGTTTTCTTATTTTTAATTTGTTTTTCCTATTTTGACGTTTATGTTTTTATACCATTTATGCACTGGTTGATGTTCCCTGGACAAATGACTGTTTTAAATATTCTGGAAACTCTGAATATGATGTTAATTATACCATATATTACTTTTATGAGAATCTTTGGAAAATCATACGCTGCCAATAATTAAATATTATAACTTGAAGCCATAAAGAAAATGAGTGACTCCCAATTCCCATCCACTTTTAAAAAAACAAGCTCAGTTATTTGAGTGACTGTACAGTGACATGATAAAACTTCACTAATTTGTTTATGTAGGAAAATTTAGCATTATATTGTGTCCAGAGCAAAAAGTCAACCATAGCATCTTTCCATATGTGTCTTCTAGATTTTAATTCCTATCTTATTTTCATCAATGAGAAGTCATTTAGGAAAAAGATCAGTAATGCAGTCCTTTGAATTATGTCCATAAACATTCAATATGCAAATCACATTCCAAAACTCAACAGAAATTTTCAAAACATCTGAACTACATCAACGATTTCACAAGTGAAATCATTTTAAAATATTTTTAAATCACCATAAATTCTCTCTTGTGATTGTAAATGCAACAACAAAGTCACCATTCTATACACTTACAGGTTTCAAACAGCTGAATAATGCAGCAATGGTACCGTATTTATTGAAATAGGGTACTCTTCACTTACACCTATTTTGACCTAATTAGATAAAGGATTTAAGAGCAAACATAACAACTATACAACTGAATTACAGTTCATCTTAAAACCTTCGTATATCTCACTCCAGTATTATGAATTACAAAAATAATCTCAACATGAAACAGATCTTTAGTAGAGGAAGGCAGATTTTAGCAGAAGTGCCATTTCATGTATCCTACAGCTACTTTAAATATCCAGCATATTTATGCAACAGACAACTTTTGTAAATCTCTATTTTTAGAATCATTTTACTGATGACCCATATCAGTGAATCTGTAAATCCAGGGAGTGATGTGAAAACTTTTTCTCATAGAGTACATTACTTTCCTTAGTATATCAAAGACATGCCCAGTGATCCATCCACTTCTATCTGTATTCACATAAAAAAATTACTCAATGACTTATTGGATTCAATAGTCATTTCCTTTGTGCATGATTATGGTTTTTCTGGAGGCCCAGCTCAGTTGGGTAGTTCTTCTGGTCTCACTGGGTCACTCAGGGGCCAGAAGACAACTGTGTACTTCTCAACTTCCTTTGATCCCTACATAGCCATATATCAGGGAGGAGGTTGGAATTTTTTTCTCACACAAATTTCATCAAGTTTTCCTAACTATGGCAGCTCCAACTGATTATTCTTTATTAAACACTTGGACCCGCTAGACTTGGCTCTTATACTTTTTCCACAACCAGGAATTATACTGGTACTTTCAGTATTGTCTGGAAAATTTAAAATTCTGTGGCAAATGATCATGTTTTGTGGTAGTCATGAAGTGCAGTCAGCTCTTCATATCCTGTGGTTTCAACCAACTCCAGAAAGAGAACATAAGATGCGAATTTTCTCATTATCATTATTCTCTGAAGTATAAGTTACATTCCTTACAGAGCATTTCATTTGTAGGAGGTAGTATAGGAGATGAAGAGGTCACTTAAAGGGATATGAGAGATTTCTTTTTGGCCTTTTGGCTAAGATCAGGTGTAAAAGGATATGTGAGGATGGCATAAGTTATATGCAAATACATTTCTACTTGATATTGGGGTAGGAGTATCTACAGATTTTGTTATCTTTTGGGTTCATGGGATCAATTCCCCACAGATACTGAGGGACAACTATCTATGTGGGAATGAAGATGTACATATTTCTTGAAATAGAAGGATTTCATATGTCTTTACATTTGAAAATTGGAGAGGTAGAAGGACACATATGGAATTTCAGAGGGCAGCAGTAAGACATCAACTTGATTAGTGATGTTTTAGATGACTTGCAGCATTATTTTGAAGTTCTGAAAAATATGAACCATTTTCATTCATTATGCTAAAAAGGAGGATACAAATGGGATGTCCTCTCATTAGAGATAACTGCATGTTTGTGTGAAAAATCTTTTAGACATCAACAATTGCAGGATCAAAGAGACAAAAATATATGCCTTCACAATGCATCTGAGTTTTTGAATAAAGAAAGAAGTACCTTAAAGTCAATCCTTCCAGTTGCAAACAAAGAGACAGAAAAGAAGGTAAAGAAAATCTGAGATTCAAAGAGTTTGTCAATTGCAACTCATGGGCAAGATTCTTGCCATAGGGAAATAGTTAATAGTTTTCTCTCAGAACACTCACACAGCAGCAACTTGGAAAAAGTAACTTACATCTTCATTTTAATGAAAGATCCTAGGGCCTGATCAACTATAAAAGGGCACACCTCTTGAACTGACTTATAATGACGAGAAGGCAATGAGACTTTCAGATTATCAGCTTTAGGGTAGCTGTGAGAAAGATAGTATAATCATCAGTCTATACTTAGTGATGTTAAAAGATTAAACATTTCCATCAACAAAATAAAGGTCCTTGGGTGAATTATGTTATTCCAGAAAAAAAAAAAAAACACATCCATGCTACCCAGTACCAAAATTATGAGTCCATGTATACAAGGTTTACTAATGAACATGTGTCTTTTAAAAAAACTGTGCATGGATTTCAACATTACTTGCCCCAAGGCAAATGTATCTTTTAATTCATTCCCATGAGCTTTTTGAAGTACTCTTGTATTTACACATACACATTCATTCACTTTTTACTCCACAAAAGCAACATGTTAGAATTTGGGGAATGGATGATATATTAATGAAAAAAACAACTTCTTTACAAAGCAGTGAGCGATGTCTTGGATATTTTTCTGCAATTCCTTCCATGCTAGGCAAATAAGCCAGTATTCTGAAGATCTGTAGTAGATAGTGACCCTCTTTTCTATTTTTTTGTTTTGTGTTTTATTTGTCTGCAGCCCAAGTGATGGTAGGAAGAAACTGATTTTGTTTGGCTCTAGGCCATGGTGTCAATTCTTAGTTTGGCTGGCTTAGGCCTTTGAAAGAATGAAAACATTCCTTGTACACTACTAGAAAACTGCAAGATTTGTAATTTTCATCATGGAAAATGAGATTATGAATATCTTGCACAAATAGTAAAAGTATAAAGCTAGTTGAGAGAAAAATAGCAATGACTTTGGATAATAGTTGCTTCTGTGGAGGGAAGAAAGGGAATGGAATACAGTAATATTGAAATCTCAGGCATATGCACACTATTTAAAGGTAAATTTTAAAATATTAACATTATGCTATATGCATCATTTATTTTTATCAAATAAAATATTGTAGGTAATGAAATAAATACCCACAAATTCTTTTGCATGTATTTAAGTGTATATGTGACATGGAGATAATGCATGTATATATGTACACATGCATGTATACCAAAAAATGCATGGGAGGGCCCAGCATTGTGCTGCAGCAGGTTAGGCTGTCATCTGTGAAGCTGGCATCCATACGGGCACAGATTCCTATCCCGGCTGCTCCAGTTCTGATCCAGCTCCCTGCTGCTGCACCTGGGAAAGCAGCAGCAGGTGACCAATCTACCTGGCCCCTGCCACATGAGTGGGAGACACGGATGAAGCTCCTAGCTTTGGCCCCGCCCACTCCTGGCTGTTGCTGCCATTTAGGGAGTGAACCAGAAGATGGACGATCTCTCTGACTCTCCCTCTCTCTGATTTTCAAATAAGGAAATAAATCTTTTGAACATGCATAGAAAATGGAATTATAAGAAAAATTTATTAGATCCAGCATTGTGGCTCAGTGGGTTAAGCTGCCACCTGAGATGCCAGCATATAATATGGCAGCACACGTTTGAATCCCAGATGCTCTGCTTCTGGTCCAGCTCCTTCCTATATACCTGGAAAAACAGCAGAAGATGACTCAAGTATTCGGGACCTTGTAACCCACTGTGGGGGAACTGGAAGGAGTTTCAGGGTCTTGGCTTTGGCCTTATCCAGCTCTAACCATAGTGGCCATTTAAGGAGCGCTTCAGCAGGTAGAAGATCTCTTTTCCTGTCTCTTCTTCCATTATTGTGCCTTTCAAGCAAATAAAATAAATCTTTAAAAAATGATATTTATTTTGGTAGACACTTTTTGAAAATCCATCAAGGTCTTTCATCATACGTGATTCCCATGTACTGATTGAAGACTTCCTGAATCAATGTATAAAATATTATTCATTACTTACTGAACAAATAGAGGAATTCCAATCATTCAGCAATGTTGGCATTTTCTATGACATATATTTATGTGAGTTCTCCATATTGACATGTGATCTTGGTGAACTCAGTGGTTTTGATATATAGCAGTGTTCCATGCTATGAGTAGTTCATTATTCTCACATCTACCTATCCATCTAAGCCAAAATTCCTAGAAGCTTTAGGTTTCAAAGGAATGGTTTATTAGCTTCCATGGGAATGGACTTTTCAGAA